CTTTGTATCTAATATTCACTTATGAGTGAGTAAACACCGTGTTTGTCTTTCTGGGTCTGGGTACCTCACTCAGGATGATTCTTTCTGGTTCCATCCATTTGCCTACAAATTTCGTGATGTCATTGTTTTTTACTGCTGCATAATACTCCATTGTGTAAATATACCACATTTTCTTTATCCATTCTTCAGTTGAAGGGCATCTAGGTTGTTTCCAGGTTCTGGATATTACAAATAATGATGCTATGGACATAGTTGAGCAAATGTCCTCGTAGTGTGGTTGAGCATCTTTTGGGTATATGCCCAGGAGTGGTATTGCTGGGTCTTGAGGGAGATTATCAGTTTTCTGAGATACTACCATATTGATTTCCAGAGTGGCTGTACAAGATTGCATTCCCACCAACAGTGTAGGAGTGTTCCCCTTGTTCCACATCCTCTCCAACATAAGCTGTTATCAGTGTTTTTGATCTTAGCCATTGTGACAGGTGTAAGATAGTATCTCAGAGTCATTTTGATTTGCATTTCCCTGATGACTAAGGATGTTGAGCATTTCCTTAAATATCTTTTGGCCATTTGAGATTCTTCTGTTGAAAATTCTCTGTTTAGCTCTGTAGCCCATTTTTAGTTGGATTATTTGGTATTTTGCTGTCTAGTTTCTTGAGTTCTAACTTTCAAGTTCTTGGAAATGTGCTAGAAAACTGTCAAGGATTCTTGGCTCCCAATAACTAATTTTCTCCTACTTAAGAACAGAATAGGGGACTGAAGATTGGCTCAGTTGGTAGAGTGCTTACCTCGCTTGCACAAAACCCTGGGTTCAATCCCCAGCACTGCACAATCTGGGAGTGCTGGCACAACTGCAATCCAAGCATTTGGGAGGCAGAAGCAGGAGATCAGAGGTTAAAGGTCATCTTTGGCAACACTGAATTCAACGCCAACCTGGGATACATAAGACCATTCCAAAAATGGGAAAAGAAAGTCAAAAAGAGCATCAAATAGAGATAGTTATGGTACCAACAGCATGAAGCCATGGCAATGCTATCCCCCACATAGGTCTGCACCTATAATTCCCACATTTACAAGCTTTACAATCCATAAAACTAGACTTTGTTTCTTCACTCCCAGGTTCTGATTTGTTTGTTTGGATGTGCTAGGTATTAATATTAAAGCTAGGGACTTGCGCATAGTGGGCAAATGCTGTTTCTTTGTAAAATATAAATTCCAAAACTCACATCTGAGGAGAGGTGATATTATGAATGTGAAAGTAAGTTGAATGACATATTGTAAGATAGTGCCTTCATTTCTAAAATGAAACAATAAATTATAGAGCAATCTGCTTTGCCTTTTTGTTCAATTTTAAAATTCTACAGCGTTAGTAATACATATACATCTATAAATGTACATACTGATTACATTGTATATATTAAGACCAACAAACGTAACTCAGTACCCTTGGAGGTTTGGTTCTGGGACATCTCCAAGAACATCAAATTCTGAGGACACTCAGGTCTAGCATATAAAATTATCTGTTGTGCGTGCATAGTATTCACCACCCTCCAAAGTACTTCAAATTATTTCTAAGTGGTTTATAACTAATACAACATGCACTGTGTGCAAATAGCTCTACACTGTATTCAGGGGAAGTCTTGTCCATATTCAGAATGAAGGTAATTTTTTCTCTGAATATTTTTGATGCATGGGTGGTTGGATCTGAAGTATGGAACCTGCTGTTCCCATATGTAAGATTTACATATGTCTCATATGTATGTCAGTCTTAAGTACTAAAAGAAACACTGTGAAAGCCCACAAGTCATTTCTTTCTTCTCCCTTCATTGTTCACTGAAGTCAAATATAATTGACACAAAGGCAAATAGGAATAGACGAGGCCTGGACTGGATTCTCTCATTCCAACTGTTCTCAACCCTGTTCACAATTATCAGGGGGCAGAAAACTCAGCAGAGCTGTTCAGAGCCTCACACCAGATAATTCCCAAAGGATAAACATGGTAGCTGGGGCCTTTCCACTAACTTTTTCTGTTTCAGAAGAAAAGCCAAAGCTCTTAGTTTATAGGGTCCCCAAGGCCATCCGTGATGTACCTCCAATCTTACCACCTATTGTTTTCACTTGGCGCTCTTCATTCCAGACCCAGGTCCATTTCAAATATACAGGCTCTACAGATGCTGCCTCGGGATGGCTGTAGGCACTTAAGCTGCCTATAATACTTGTACTCACATGCATGGGGTAACACCTTCATTTCGAAGCCTCCTCTCTGAAGTTACTTCTTATTCCATGACATTTTACATCTTCTCTATTTTCACTCTTTGCTGCTTCTAAAACCCCATGTATTTTGCTTGTCTGCCCCTCCCCCACACTATAAAGCCACAAGCGTAGGAGCCTTTGTCTCTTCACTGTCATGTCCTGGCACATGAGCACCTGGCACAGTTGCATTGGTACTCAGCAAAGAAAGGCAGGTGATGACAGCTGCTTAACAAACTGCCTCCCAAAAATCGTTTTTATTGTCCCTCATAGTCTGAGGGTCTTTACTGAGCTCAGCTAGCAGGTTCTTGCTTACGGTCCCTACTGCAGTCATAGTGAGAGGACTGATATGGAATCATTGAAGGCTTGCTCTACCACATGCCTGGTACCTAAGTCTGGAAGACTCAATATCTGGAGGCTGAGAAAGCAAGGATGTTGGGGGTTTGTCTTTCAATATGGGTTCATGAGGTCTCTCTTATATGGAGGTTTCAAGATAGCAGGACTTACATGGTGTCTAGGGCACTAAAACAAATGTCCCAAGAGAGGACACTTGAGGAAATTCTATCATTTTTCTGGTGTCCTGGTCTTGCAAACACTCTAACTCTGCTATGGCTCTCAATTAGTCAAAGGAGTCACAAAGGCTCGTCTGTGTTCACACATGCTAGCCAGGTGCTCTACCGCTGAACCATATGCTCAGTCCCCTTCTTTAATAAGAGACAGAAAAATTATTGGAAAGGATGTGGAATAAAAATATTGTAGTGAATTTTGGGAAGTTTAATCTGCTACACCCCAAACAAGGAATTTCTAAGGCCAAAAATCAATGTTCCAGCAGAAATGAAAGAAGTACTTAAGAGCAAGCAAGAACAGTCTTCATAGACAAGCCCAGGAAAACACTGCCACCCATGACAGAGAATGACCCAAGTAGACCAGAGTTTGAGAACCAAAAAACCAGGCACAGAGCAGTAGGAACAGTAAAAGCAGTTCTCATCAAGAAAGGACTGCCATCAAGTCTTAGAAACCCGAATTCTAGTGTCTAGGGATGATACGCTTGGCACACAAGCTTGAGGAGGAGTTCAGATCCGCAGGACCAAATATGAAAAGCCAGGGGAGGCAGAAACAGGATTCTTGAGGCTTCCTGACCAGTCAGTCTAGCCAATGAGTTCAGTGAGGCTGCCTCAAAGTGATGAGCAAGTAAGGAAAAGACACTCGACACTGACATTGGCCTCCACATTCACACACATAAACATGTACACACACACACACACAAAAAAAAAAAAAAAAAAAAAAAAAAAAAAAAAAAAAAAAACAAACAAAAAACACGTTGTAGTTGAGTAATTTTTACCATCTAGCATACTACCTCCATCTTAAACTTTACCAGTACCTGGAGATTTCTGAAAGAAAAGACTTAGTTACTGTTTCTTCATTATGGCTTTCTTTTTTTCTTTCCTTAAATAGACCTCTCAGCTCTAACACTGAAAAAGCCACACAAGACTCTTCCTAACATCAGTTACGTGAATGGATTTGCATGCTAAGTCTGGAAGATACCCACAAACTACTCAAATAATAGCACAGGACTTTCTCATGCCTTAGTGTAATTTTTGTAATGCTAGATTGAGCTTTTTAGACTTCCTCTTATTTCTCATTAGATAATGTTGGTATTATAAGTGTATAAACTCAATCGAGCCTCATTGTACATCTTAAGAACTTTTCTTCTTCCAAGTTAGGTTAGGAATCCTGAATTACTGAAATCTGTTTTTCAAAGGAGTTATTTTTGCAGCTCACCTACAGCTGGAAGCCATCAACTCTAAATTGGCTAGTTTTACATTTATTTATTTGTTTGGGAGTAAAGGCGTGCCATGGCACATGCTGAGGTCAGAGGACACCTTTCTCATTCGGTTATCTCCTATGTGGGTTCTGGGAATAGAACCCAGGCCACCAGGCTTAGTGGCAAGCACCCTTACCCCCTGAGCCATCTTATTATCTTGTATATGTATATATGCATGTACATGTGTCATGGTACACCTGTTGAGGCCAAATGACAAGTTTGTGGAGTCAGATTTCTCTTTCCACCTTTCCATGGGTTCCAGGAACTGAACTCAGGTTGCCAGGCTCACACAGCAAGCATCTTCACCCACTGAGCCATCTCGCCAGCCCTCCTCTCCTTTCTGTAAAAATGTTAGGTAATGAATTCATAAGAAAGCAAGACACAAGATTCCTCTATTTTCTAACCTGAATGCTTGACTTTCCAGCTCCAGGTATAATGTAAAAGCATAATTTCTGAGTATCTTTAATGCAGCTCAATTATATACACTTGTCATTTTATCAGCCATAGTAATCATTTCCTTTATCTTTAGCCCTTGGATTGTCGCAGGATGTTGCAGGTGCAACTTTCATGGCAGCAGGTAGCTCCGCCCCTGAACTAGTTACCGCCTTCTTGGGTAAATATTCCTTCGATTTGCTGCTTATTCAGTGTGTTTTTAGTTTCTTCAAGGCAGCTTTAACTTAGCTTTAACTTACTATCTTGCTTCTAGGTGTGTTTCTCACAAAGGGAGATATTGGCATCAGCACCATTCTAGGATCTGCCATTTACAATCTCCTTGGCATCTCTGCTGCCTGTGGCTTGTTATCCAACATGGTAAGAAATCTATTCAGGGAGATGTACTGTCCTGACAAATTCTAAAATTAAACAGCCTTGATGAACAACATAGCACTGGAAATGCATTCAAATTTTATAACCAGTAGAAAAACATTTATTCAATTTATTTAACCCACAAATATCTTTTATTAATCAAATTTTTAAGTCAGTACAGGTTTAGAACAATTTTTCTTTAAATTCATTTTTCTCTATGTAAAACATAACAACCTTTTCCCACAAATATACAAGCAATTTCGGTATTATACTAAGCATTGTTCTTGAATGACTTAGGCTGTAATGCAGACAGTAAATCAAACCACCCTTTTCCAGGTTTCAACACTCTCATGCTGGCCCCTGTTCCGAGACTGTGCAGTGTACGCAGTTAGTGTAGGAGCGGTTTTTGGCATAATATTTGACAACCAAGTTTACTGGTAAGCTTCAAATAACTGTCACTCGTATCTAAAACATAATTACAGAGAGAATTTTTGCAGTCTGATGGCTTAGTAGTGTAGTTTTTCTAAAATGTTACTTCAACTCACTTCTCAAGGACCTGTCACTTCAGCAGCTACTCCAGTCTCAGAGGATTTCTTCACACAACTACTGATGGCTTCTTCTTTCCTTCCCATCGTCAGCCGGCTTCCCTCTCCTGGTCACTGGAGGCAGCCACTCTTCCTGTTTACCATGGCCTCCTTGTTCAGAACTTTCCCAGCTTGTTGTTACTTCAAGCTCCAACTGTTGGTGCTCTCTTCGACGAGGCTGTTGCCTACCTGGCCTTGGTTAGAAGTGGTCACAATCACAAAAGCTTGGAGAACAAGTAGAAGCCCCTTCATTTCTACAGTTTCTCCCATCCTCCCAGAACAGAAGGAACTGCAGCCTTTTCTAACAACCAAGAGTGTTACATGTCAATATTAGAAACCTGTTGCTTTCCCATAATCTCTCCACACCTAGCTGGCCAAAGAAAATGAAGAAGCAGGGGACTCGGTGGGCAGATAAAAACTTGCCAAATCGGCCCAAGCATCTCCTAGGCCAATGGTCTTCAACCTTCCTGATGCTGTGACCCTTTAATACATTTCATGATATGGTGATCCCCAAACATAACATTTTCATTGCTACTTCAGAACTGTAACTTTGCTACTGTTATGAATCCTAATGTAAATATCTGATATGCAGATAAGTCTTAGGTGACCCCTGTGATAGGGCTGTTCAACCCCAAAAGGGTTGCAATCCACAGGTTGAGAATCACTGTCCTAGGTGTTTATCATTATGCCGGGCACCACAAAATAAATAAATAGAAAACATATGGCCATACATGTATGTGTCCAGACAATGCCCAAACAGGGAGAAAAACATGATAAATGAAAAGCCAGGCTGCTATTCAACAAAGAACCCTGGGATTCAGCTGTCATCTGTGACAGGGAGCATGACAATATCCAAGCACATATAAACACATTCCCTCATTAGGGAAATCAAAAACTATTTTTTATTTATTTATTTTTTAGCTACAGCAGAGGAGTGATTCATTCGCTATGAAATAAAATAACAATATTCAAATGTGATGAAATTAGCTAATAATTACAGTAAAGTGGTGGGAAGCCAAATCATAGACAATTATTGGTGCCTTAAGTTGGAAGTTCATTTTTTAAGAATATCTTTGATCTCTTGTGAGTATAAGCCAAATTCAGCTACAATAAAATAGTCAAAGGGGGAAACAGCGCAGACCTAAAACCCCAAAACTCAAGTAGAAGAGGCAGGAGAATTGCGACTTTGAGTATTTGAGGCCAATCAAGGGTATATAGTGTTCAAGACCAGCCTGGGCTACACAGTGAAACCCTGTCTCAAAAGCCAGTAAATTCCCACCTCCAAATTTCTTCTAAATCTCTGGAGAGCAAATTGCAAAGTTCTATCTAAATCTAACATATTTTGAATATTTCACACAAAGTTCCTACACCAGAAAATCTAACAGTATATTCTTTTCTAATTATTAAATATTTGGGGAATGTAGTAAGTATGTCAATGAATAAGTTGGAAAATGTCCATTACTAGTTTTAGTTTGAAAAATCTCCAACTATTTTCAAGGCATTTTTAAAAGGAATCTATAAAGACAGATGATGGATTTTATAATCCTTTTTTTTTTAAAAAAAAAAAAAAAATAAAGTGTCTGGCTTTTATCAATGAGTTTATAACAATACTATAACCAAGACTGGGCAAGAAAAGTGTTTCAGGATAGTTCCTTGACTTTTTGAATACTGCTTTTGTTAGAAAATACTGTTTAAAAATTACTCTAGACTGGCTCAATTACACACACACTTCTCATTTCCAGGTATGAAGGAGCGCTGCTGCTGCTCATTTACGGGCTCTATGTTTTACTGCTGTGTTTCGACACTAAGATCAGCCGATATGTCATGGAGAAATGCAGTCCCTGCTGCCCCTGCCTTGCCGGAGTTCTGGAGAGAAGTGAGCAGCAGACACTGCTGGGATGGGAAGATGAGAGCCAGCTCTTCACTCGCCGCCAATCAAGGACAGACAGTGGAATATTTCAGGAAGACTCTGGTCACTCCCAACTTTCTCTAGGTTTACACGGTCTTAGTGATATTTCTGAAGGTAACGACAACATCCAGCCCACTATTTCATCTAACCATGAGAAACAGTTCTCATTTCAAGTCAGTAATTAGCACATGCTTTTGAAACACACTATGGAGGCAGAGATGATGGAGTGCAGGTTCTGGCCTTTTAAGAGCTTCCAATACACATTCTTAAAATTATCTTAAAGTGTGGGGCAAGGGGGATATACACAGACATGGAGGGCAGAGGTCAGCACCAGGTGCTGTTCCTCGATCCTTCACCACCTCATTGAGATCAGTCTTTCATTGAACTTGTAGCTCACTGATTAGTTTAGGCCAGCTGGCCAGTGAGCTCTAGAGATCTGTCTGTCTCTGCCTTCATAGCACTGGGATTACACAGATGGGCTGCCATGCTTTTTCACATGGATTCTGGGGATCTGAACTCACATGCCTATGCACCAAGCATTTTACCCACTGAGCCATCTCCTCAGACCCAAAATCAGCTAAAATTTCAAAGTGTAAGTTCCATAAAAATAAATAAACTGTTACTACTATGGTTCATACATTAGGCAGATTGAATAAACTTAGAGGACACTCAAATGGGAGATGTACATGGAGAAAAGAGCATTTGAACTGGGTCTTGTGGGATAGAAAAGGCTTTAACTCAATAATCTGCTATTGCAGTCAGGAAGCAACAACTGATACCTTTATTGCACAGATGATCCAGAGATGTGAGCACGCTCTATGGATTGAGGCCAGAGGACAAGCAAAGGCTTGCTCACGTGGTGCACAGACAGAGTGCCGGTCATACATGCAGAGTGAGGAAGCGGAGGAACGGGTGGACAGGAAGGAAGTGCAGAAGACTCTGACTCTTGCAAGGCAGGTTATGAGGGGGAAGTCATAGCGCTGCACACAGTGTTCATAGGAGACTGAACCAAGACAACAGGACACGGACAAAGCAGTGAAGGCAGTGAGGCTAAAGCGAGCCCAGGTGGACCACAGGGAGGAAGCACCAGCAAACACTGGCAGCGGAGGGCCACACAGAACCAGAAGCAGAGCTGAAGCTGGGGCTGGAGACTTCACTGGTGAAATGAGAACATCTCTGTAACAAGTGGAAGTTGAGGAAAGGGGGTGGTTTGGAAGAATAGAAAGAAAACAAGCAGGTGAGACTGAACCATGTGAAGTAGAAACTAACCATGAGCTTGGGATGTTCAATATGCCCATGTCATTTCTGACCAGACAACTTTATAAAAGTGATTCCAATTTCAGTTAAGTGATTAGGAAGGAAGCTTCCAGTTTAATACTTTTAAAAAAAGTGACATGACTTTTTTCATCATTACAAAACATACTTTGTAGTCTTTAAGGTAGAAGAGATTTATAACAATAAAAAACCCTCAAAAGTATCAGTCAAAATAGCCATGTTAAAATTATATCTAAATTAATCTTTAATTGTTTGGGTCTTGTAAACTTCTATGAGTTATAGTATTTGTGATTTGATCCAATCTTTGCATAAGTGCCATATAAATTAGTCCACAGCCTGGTCCCACTTTTATCCAATCTACTTGTCATCCCTGTCCCCTGAGCACACACTCCGGAGCTGTACCAGGAGGCCACTAGGCCCAACTTTCTCTAGATTCCTTCTGGCAACTGTGAAGCATTTATTTAGTAAATGAGGAGACACAATGAGAACTAGCTGGAACATTCCCTGAGCCTCATCAATTCTGGAAAAGGGAGGGGGTGAAATAGCTTGAGGAGGTGGGGAGCCAAGTTAATCCTAAAAGCACAAAGTCCCTAATGATCCATACTGCAGTGAAGCAAGAGTTCCACCCCTATTACTCTGTAAACACTGTCACCAGAACATTCAGGAAACAGTTCAAGACATTTGAGTCAAGCCCTCCGTGAAGGGGAAGCTGACCATCACAGAGTTTCAGTTAAGTTTCTTTTGACCAGCAATAACAGTAATGAAGTATTCAAATGTTCTAGGATCAGTGGTTCTCAACCTTCCTGATACTGCAATCCTCTTCATGTTGTATTGACCCCACAACCATAAAATTATTTTCCTCGCTACTTCATAGCTGTAACTTTGCTACTGTTATGAATCTTAATGTAAATAACTATGTTTTCCGATAGTCCCAGGTGAACCCTGTGAAAGGGTAGTTCATCCTCCAAAGTGGATCGTGACCCACAGATTGAGAACCACTGTTGTAGATAGTCTTTCAAAAATGTATAAAGTAAAATTATTTCAACACAGCATTCTAAATGGGCCTTTCTAATATAATTGGTCATTTGAGAAAACTCAAAACTGTTTAATTCTTCCACAACAGATCCACCAAGTATTTTCAGCATGCCTGAAGCAGACTTAAAAAGAATTTTTTGGGTACTCTCTCTTCCTATTATTACATTACTTTTTCTGACAACACCAGATTGCAGAAGAAAGTTTTGGAAAAAATACTTTGTGATAACCTTTTTCATGTCTGCACTATGGATATCTGCATTTACATACATCCTGGTTTGGATGGTCACAGTAACAGGTATGTAATTTAAGTATAATAGCACAACAAGAAAATTATTTCATGTAAGAAGAAACTGCAAATATTCATTTAAAGTAGTATCGAGAGCATACATCTTTTCAGCAAGACTAAAAACTAATGTTGTTTACAAAAGATGAAAGCTTAATATCATAGCCCAACAAGCTCAGGTTTTGTGAGTTACATGCCAAGGGCATTCCCCACTATTACACAGCCTGGGGTCTAATTCATAAGCTATCTTTATAATTACACAGGATTCATGAGAACTCTTCATACTGAATTTTAATCCACAATGGAAAATAAGAAAGGAACTGACTAGGGTTTGGGATAAGAGGTAGGTGCTTGCTATTTAACTAGATGGTATTTTCTTTTGCTTTACAATATGGCAATGGAAACACAATGCAGATGACTAAGTGAGTATTAAGAGTTTAGTTTTAGGCTTCTAGTATCTTCACAAGTAAGTTTTACTGCTTAGCCATAATATGTTCTGCCACCCAATGAAAAACTGACTATAAATAGAAATGAAAATTAGGATTCTCTCAAAAAGCAACCTGAACTAACTTACATTAAAAATGTATAATCACCTTCTGGTATGCGTAAGTCACCCAACCTGTTTGTATCAATGAAACTCACTGACCACAGTTGGGTCGAGTCATCTCCTTACATGTCTATATTGCTGTTTTCACACTGGTGGGACTAAAGAATTGCAACAGAAACCACAAAGACTGCAAAATTGAAATAATCAATACCTGGCCCCTTCTCCAAAATGGCTGACCCCAACTTCTCCCAGATAACTAACTTTATTATAACTGTATGCTAACAAACAAACAAAAACAATAGTTTTCTTTTTTATGAAGATGGTAAGAATGTCCAGGTAGCTTGCATATTCACTGTATCCAATTTTTGCCAGTTCGAATAGCTGACATTAATAGGAAGAGTAGAATCAAATCCAAGATCACAGATGAGTAACTAAGACAACCAACAGCAAGCACAACACTCACTCTAGCCATGTTTGCAATTACAACAGTTACCTGTCCCCACCCTTTTGAAATTGGTGCTGTATGTTAGACTCGGGCAGGAAAGGAGGTCCCTGTCTACCTCAGAGATCTATGTACTTCCTTGGAACAAAACAAAGAAACAAAAACAACCCTCAGTAAACAAAGTAGCCTTTCAAAGTCCTCATTTCAATCTAATAATGGATAAAATATCTCTAGGATGCCTAACTTTCAACTACTTGAATAAACTTCAAGAAGAGAGAAAGTAAAGGATCAGTTCACCATACAGCAAGCAACAGCGACACCCACAGCTTCCCCGAGATGCCAAATATGAGTTCTCATTGAAAGCATTTTGGTTGCTCGATATCTTCAGATATCTGTCATTAAAAATGGGTGTTGCCCTGTTACCCAAACTATCAACCTGTCTCAAATACTTTGCCATCTAGAAACCACATAAGCATCCATTGATTCAAAAATCTCAATCTACTTAAATATTTTTTACGAATAGGGAGGAAGCATTCAAGCTGTCTTCAAAAACTATTTCATATAAGATGTGTGATTTGTAACCTGTAGTCTCTGTGTCTATGACAGGGGAACTACTAGGAATCCCAGACACGGTAATGGGTCTTACTTTATTGGCAGCAGGTACAAGCATACCAGACACAGTCACCAGCGTGTTAGTTGCAAGAAAAGGTAAGACTGGAGGTCTCCCAGATGCACTGGCTGTCCTTTAAGCTTGATTATCATAAAGCAAGTGAAATTAAAGGTAATAATACTTCCTCAAGTAACATACTTTGAAGAAAAAAGAAGTGACTCACAGGAAGCATTTAGATTTTAATAAAGGTTAATTCCCTCAACCCAATCCCCCAAAGACTGTTTATCTGAAATGTGCATTAGATGGTAATTCACTGTCAAATGAAAATGAAAAGCAACAAGTAAGCTGCATACCTTATTAAAAATGGTTTAATAAATAAAGGTAATTATTAAATAAATGTTAAGACTTTAAATACTAACTCAAGGAAATACAAATTCAATAAGACTCTTGCTCTAACAATAAGTTTTCTAAAACTAACCAACAAAAAGTATCCAGTGTTTTTCTTATGAAGATTATTAATAAAATATAATATCAGTGTGCACATTTTAACAACATGCTGTTCTTTTGCAGGTAAAGGAGACATGGCTATATCTAACATCGTGGGATCCAATGTGTTTGATATGCTATGCCTAGGTCTTCCCTGGTTTATTAAGACTGCATTTACCAATGCATCTGCTCCTGTGGAAGTGAATAGCAAGGGCCTCACTTATATAACCATCTCTCTCAACACTTCAATTATTTTTTTGTTCTTAGCAGTTCATTTTAATGGCTGGAAACTAGACCGAAAGTTGGGGGTGGTCTGCCTAGTGTTATACTTAGGACTTGCTACCTTATCAGTTCTTTATGAACTTGGAATTATTGGAAGTAACAGAATAAGGGGCTGTGGAGTTTGATACTTTTAATAGTGTTATGTGGGAAAGGTGGAAATGGTAGAGGGACAAAAAAGGAAATAAACAAAACAAACAAAAAAGAAAAACCAGGTCTTCATTTAGGTCAAATAAGAAACATCCTCAACTTTAGAATATAATACTTAATTACTATTCTTTATAAGCAGAGAAAAGTAATTTAAACCAAACCAAAATCATATCCTAATTTGTCTGAGCCCTTTCGTTTCATTAACAATCGATACAAAGCAGAGATTTTTTTTTTTGGGGGGGGGATGTCAACTTACAATAAGATTGGGGAAATTAGAACAAACAAACCCTCCTACTGGAAACAACAAAATGGCTGCTTATTTCATTAAAAATGGTGTGTCCATCCACTGAAACTCAATGACCAGACTTGCCAACTTTAGAAACACAAACTTGAGAGAACGAAAATCACAGTATATTTTTCAACATTATACTGTTAAAAGCTGGTGGGAGTTTTAAAAGTTCATTTTTACAGCATTTGTAAGCATACAACATTACTAAAAAAATGACTTTTACTAGGAGATTCAATAAACAGACGAAGGAATGTTCCAACCATGCTTGAAATTATGCATTACGATCCAAGCGAACATCGATTTCCCTGCCACTGATTTTGATGCCGTTCATTATTCTGCAGGCCTTTTCAGCTGACTCTGGGGATTCAAACCTAACTGTCCCACAGCCTTTTGACTTGCCATTCTCCATCTTGATTTCTGCAAACATTACATGACCTGTAAAAGGAGAGTTACACAATTACTAGTCCATTTAAATGGGTTCCATTTCACTAGACACGTTTTAAACTCCTCAAAGCAATGGAGATCATAGGTAATTTGGTTAAACATATCAATAACATAAAATACATATATATGAGCATTCGATTTATAGTCTGAATACAATTCCTATATAATGACTACATATACATACATTCTAGCCTACATAAAATTGAAACTGGACATTGAGTTTGCTTTTAAATCCCCAATTTCTGTAGTGGATGTTATAGCAATAAGGCTAGCTAGCACAAATACCACCAACTCATCATGACCCCTAAACAAGATGACATCTTTAATCAAAATTATACAGTTGCTCACTGTTCACTTTCCTGAATCTTCTTCCTTCTCTTTTACCTTCATTTCACACTTTTATCCTTACAAGAGCAAATGTCCATAAATCTAAGTTCTGCCAGGTCACAAAAGGCCCAGCAATTCTACTTTTCAACTACCGTGACAAAGCCATCTATTCACTATCACAATTTGGATTCAAAATCTTAAGGATGGCATCCAATAAGGAAATGGTTATAAAAGACAGCAGATTTAGAACAGTAAAGATAAAAAACAATGATGTTAAAGGGAAATCTCAGAGAGGCTTCCGGAAAGGACAACGAAACCTGACAACTGTTTTTATACAATTAATCACTGTTAACTCTAGAGTAAATCTATAGTTACTGTTCGATCAGTAACATCAAAACACAAAGTAGCCTTAAAATCCATCAGTAAAACCAGAGTACTTCTGAGAGTAAAGAGGAGTGATAATCACGTGTAAATAAAGACAGACCAATAAGACTACAGCTCAGGAAACTAGGATGCATGATAACCAATGCAAATAGTCCATAACTTAAGGACACAACCACTTATGTAATACTTCCCCCACACAGGATGTACCTGTCATCAGATCATGCTAGACTTTGAATATTACAGCAGCTAAATTACTATGTGTTAATTTCAGTCGGTCAGCAAAACCACACAGTCAGACACATTTAGTTTTACAAAGGGACAAAAAAGGAAGAAAGAGAAAAGTAAAAGGCAAGGGTCTGTCAAGTGAAACCCTTTCCTGGTGAACGTAATGAGTATTACTCTTAATGAATAAGGAAGACTGTTGCCCTGTTAAGGGCATGAGCTGAGCAACCTCTTATCTACAACATCCCAGGCTACTTTTGTGCTTCTATCCACTTTCTGCTATTGCATTTCTTTTCAAAGCTAGCTGATAACCAACCCTTCACCTTCTCAACACTAAATACTCAAAGACAATGTCAGACTGATTCAGAACCATGTCTTATAAAGCAAACCAGGAAACTGAGTGTGTCCCTAAGAGTTACAAAACATACTAATACCAAAAAATTACATAATAATTAAAGTAGACTGAAATAGTATTTAGCCCACAACTAGTAAAACAGAAAAGAAAAACAGCAATTTTATTTTCTAGTAGAAAAAACTCACAGAATGACATTGAGATATATATGCTAAAGGAAACATTAGTGGTTGGTTGTCTTAGTCAGGGTTACTATTGCTATGATGAAACATATGACCAAATCAAGTTGGAAAGGAAAGTGTTTTTCAGCTTATACTTCCAAATCACTGTTCATCATCAAAGGAAGTCAGAATAGGAACTCAAGCAGGGAAGGGACCTGGAGGCAGGAGCTGATGTAGAGGACATGGAGGGGTGCTGCTTACTGGTTTGTTCCTTGCAGCTTGCTCAGCCTTGCTTTCTTATAGAACCCAGGACCAGCAGCTCAGGGATGATACCATACATAATGGGCTGGGCCCTCCCCTATCAGTCACCAACTAAGAAAATGCCCTACAGGGCTGCCTACAGCCCAATCTTACAGAGGCACTTTTCAACTGAGGCTCCTTCCTCTCAGATGACTACCTTATGTCAAGTTGACAAAAATTAGCCAGTACAGTGGTAAACAAAACAGTGCAACTTCCCAAATCCTCCAGCATGTTGGGAACTGGCACCCAAGAAGGAGCAATTCCATTAAGGCAGCATGCTTTGGCACAAGGTGGCACTTACAGTGATCTCCAAGGCTGTGAAGAATTTTACAGGCTTTGAAGCTGGAGGGTCTTCCCTTATTCTAGTTTTAGCTAAAAACTTAGGTTTTTCTAAGTTCCACAGCCTAGGGTTGGTTATAAGCAACAATGGGGTTTACCTGAGCTAGAATCTTGAAAACATGTTACTATCTCTTGCATAAACCATCTTTCAATATTTCAGACAAGATTCTCTTTCCACTTTCCTCTTAAATTGTTCCTATTAGTTTAGAGAGTCATCACTTAGGCATCCAAACTCCTAACCTCACAGTGGTCTCATCTTCCCTTTAAGACCTCTCAGCTAAGATACCAGAACCTTCTCAGTTAGGATATTTACACTCTAGAGATCAGCCCCCACACACATTTCCACAGTTAGACTACCCTAAGCAAGAAAAGAATCCTAAGTTGCTGGCTGGCTTGGTTATTTCTAGAACTTGGGGACTGAGCCCAGGGCCTTTGCATGCACCAGCAAGTGCTTTAATGCCAAGCTATATGACACTATCAACTTTGGGGTTTGTTTTAATTTACTTTAAACTTTTTGACAGTCTCATTAACTTGCCCAGGGTAGCCTATAATTTACTAGCTAGCCCAAGCAGTCTTCCTGCCTCAGCCGCTCTGAGTGCTAAGACTACAGGCATTCACCACCGCACTGAGGTGAATAATACATTTCCTAACCCTATGAAACCACAAATTAAGGTATTTTCTTTCTAAAATAATTTAGGAGAAAAAGTTTCAAATAATTCAATCTGCCTAACTTTTTACATGCTGAGGAAGTCTTCAAATGGCCTACTGTCTTGGAGGATTTCAAGAAACTAAAAACAAGACTGGCATTTTATCAATTGTACAGGACTAAGCTCTGCCATAAGGAGATTGGACACACTGCAGTCATAGAGCAGGTGTGAGAACTATTTAGTACACAATAAAAGAAAGCTTTCCACTTTATTTAGTTCAGGCTTTTGGAAATGGTACATATTTGGGGAAAGGCTGGCATAGACCATAACTAAAAATAAGCCAAATTAATACATTTGTAAATAAATAACAAAATCTGCCTAAATAAATCTATGACATTACTATCCGGAGTTCAAAAATGTTGCCTTTGGGGCTTATATTAGCAAGGCACCTGCCAGTGAGCTACTTCCTGGCAGACGTTGTGTCTAGAGTACCACTAGATTCTTGTTGAGCAAGAAAGAACATTTACTTAGCTAGCATGGGCTCAGGAAAACAAAACACAGCAAATGAACAACAAAACAAACCCACTTTTGTGGCCAGAGGTCATTATTTGTTTGTCAGGTTAAAAGAACACTATTAGCCCGGCGGTGGTGGCGCACGCCTTTAATCCCAGCACTCGGGAGGCAGAGCCAGGCGAATCTCTGTGAGTTCGAGGCCAGCCTGGGCTACCAAGTGAGTTCCAGGAAAGGCGCAAAGCTACACAGAGAAACCCTGTCTCGAAAAACCAAAAAAAAAAAAGAACACTATTAAAACAGAAAAACTGAGATTTACAAATAATGTGGTATGGCAGGAAACAGAGGGTTCAGTCCAAACATGTCAGATAATACTCTGGCAATAATAGAGATTTAATTCTCTATTACTGTAACTTATTTTCTGTGTCATCAATGTAACTCCTGGCTAAAAAAAAGGGGGAGGGGATGATATGGAGTTATATAAGTATGGTATTAAATATAAAATCGAAAAGCAGCTTTCATAGCTAATCTGGAAGTAAAAAACCAAACTCATTAACCTTTTAACTATTGGCTAATTCAAAAGGAGAAGAGAGGAAAACATGAGTCCCATATAATTGAGCCGCTATTTTTAAATGCAGACTTGGATACTTTCTCTTCTCACAAAATGCCTTCTGTCACTATCTGTCAATGCTACCCCAGCCCTAGCTTTGGCTGTTAAGTGTTACTCCTACCTGACCTCAAAAGAGCACCTGCTTACACAGTGTATATACTTACTCTACATAGGCTACCAACACCCTTACAAATAATGCACTAAGCTGTTGTTTCTCAGTGGTGAACAATTGCTAACTCACTTGACTTGACAAGGTTTTTGTAAGAACTGCCTCTTCTTTGAATTTTAAATTAATGTAAAATAAAAGGCCCATCAACAGAACACCTTAGACAGATTCATAGTGTAGATTCTTTAAAAACTTAAATATCTGATTTTCTTCATCTCCAAAGGTCTACCAGAGTACCAAAAAGTCAGTGATCATAGATTTAATGAGTAAATGAGTAAGTGAATGAAGATTTAATCAGAGTACTTATGAACATTTTGTAATCCTCTATGTGTACAAAAATAATAAAAGGTACTAGCTTAAACAGGTAAGAATTACCCTAAAGAGCCCCCATCTAGGGTAAAAGAAAATTAGTAAATCATTAAAATAAAAGCTAAAAGGAAATGAAGTATGAAGAGCTATGAGAGTCAGTAGATAATAATATTATTCTTGACAGTAGTCCACAAAGGCCTTTTCTTTCCTTTGCCTCCAGTACTAGGAACTGCCTTGAGCCTCATGCATGATAGGCAAGCACCCTACCACTTACCAACATCCAGTCTCTCTTGGTTTCTTATTTTATTTTTTATTCTGAATAACTTTTTGTTGTTGTTTTATCTTTATTGAAAATATTCTTCTCTCATATAACACATCCCAACCACAGACCCTCAACTCCTCCCAACCCTCCCTCCATCTACCCTCTCCTCCAGATCCACCCCCCACTCCCCTCCACCCCCCACCTCGCTTCCTCTTCAGAACAGCAGGCTTCCAAGAAACAAAAGCCAAACAGAACAAAACAAAATACAATACAGCAAGGCAAAAGCCCTCATATAGCTGGACAAGGCAACCCAACAGAAGGCAAAAGGGTCAGGGATACAACCACTCCCACTATTATGAGTCCCACAAAAACACCAACCTAACAGTCATAAGATACATGCAGAGGACCTGGTGCAGAGCCATGCAGGCCTCATGATTGCCCTTTCAGTCTCTGTGAGCCCATGTGAGCCCTGTTTAGTTGATTCAGTGGGCCATGTTCTCCCGGTGTCTTTTATTCCCTCCTGAGTTTTTATTTTTATAATGAGACAGTCTCAATAAACTGTCCAAGCTGACTTTGAATTAACTCTGTAGCCCAGGCAGGCCTTGTAGCATCCTGCTTCAGCCTCCTAAGTAGCTGGAATTACAGGCTGTACCACCAGGCTCAACTAGGAAGGTTATTTTTGTGGAAAAACACTAAACTTACTTGGTTTTTTCATGCCTTAAAATACTAAAGATATTGGGCATAGTGGCACACACCTTTAATCCCAGCACTCTGGAGAAGAGGCAGGCGGATGGATCTTAGTTTCTGTTAACTATAAGAGGCCAATGTAGTACTTTCAGCCCCCTTTCAGCATAATGTGCTACATGAATATCTTAGTATTGTGATTTTAGGCTGGAATTCTATATAATAAAAGGAAAACTGTTGCTCTGTGCCAGTCACTCAATTCCCCCATTATCACACACACACAAACACACAACATACAACACACGTGTGGGGGGGGGTAATCAATTAAGATACTTTAAAACAAAAGTGAGTATGGCACAGGAAAAGCTTTATTTGAAAGTAATAAACCAGACAATAACAGACAGACCTACGTTATATAACTAAGGTCTGTAGCTAGTCTCCTGATAGCCAAGAAGAGTTTCCAAAGGACTAGAAGAGCCACCAAAATGTATCTGTGTCTAGCAGGGTTCTATGCTACCAGCTTAAGGTTCCTATAGTATGCAGGCAATAGAGTGCACAGAACAGACCTTCCCATCAACTATGCATCAGCAAGCAAGTAGACATGCCTTTTACTAATGTTTCTCATGAGAAAAAAAGAAACTTTCTAATGGAAAAACATAACCTTTTTAAAATCTGGTAATAAACAAAACTTTTTTACAACAAGTAATGATGAGCTATCCTGTCAAGTCTGTACTAAGCCTTGTTGTTTCTTCTAAGTCACCAGACAACAAAACTATTACTTATCTGAAGTTAAGCCAGAAAAGAATATGACTGGGATAAGCCAAGATCTAAACATGGTGTTCCAAAGTTTAAAAATCAAATTTTCTCCCAAAGAAATGTCAGCATAATCTGCAGCTACTGGTATACTTACCACATTGGCTGAATTTCTCTTTTAGTTTCTGCCAAGTCAAGTCAAAAGGTAGCTAGAATGAAAAGAGAAATTAGCAACATATTATATACATAATATTTATATTTTCAATGTATATGAAAATAGTGAAATAATTATTAACAATAAATATTCTACACACACACACACATAAAAAGATATAAAAAGAATTTTAACTTTGCAATACATTTATTTGCTTACATTTCTAACAAATATCTGGTTGCCTTTGGAGCCTAATCTGTCTCTCATTCCGCTTCCCATGGGACCCGATAAGAAACCTCGGTCTACATCGATGCTCCTTTCCAGTATGGCTCCAATCCCTGGCCCCATCCTGTCGAAGCTGGAGCTCATGCGGTCCAGTCCCATCCCCATGCCTCCAGTCACACTGCTCATGCCACCCATGCTGCCACCTGCAATGTGAAGAAGGGCAGGAGGATTTGGGAGTTTCAAGTTTTAAAAACAAAACAAAAACAGCAAAAGGAAAGATAAGACAGAAGAAGGAAAAAGAACAATTAGTTTTGAAAAAGTAAGAAAAATTCATTTCTATAACAGAAAATTATTTTCATATAGAAAACAAAACAAGTAATAGAGTTTGGAATACATTTGTCTAGTTGAAAAAACTTAACTTTAGTCAGAATATAATTATATATGCCTCTATAAAATTATAATCATAAAACATCATATATTTAATTCCTCCAATAACTTTTATATTACAGTATTTTTAATTCTTGTATTTACTTTTGCAATAACAGCAAATATAACAACTTGAGAACAAAATTATAGAGATAAATACAAATTGTTGCAATTCTAACATACATGTTGCTCTCCTATCACTCTCCCTTACACCTCATTCCTTTCCTTGCTCACCTTTTACCTCAGTATGTGCACCTCTGTTTCCCACACAACTTCTACTCTGATATCAATTCAACTTTTAGTAACCATAGGCAATAGTAACTCAATATTACACAGAACTTGCAAAGGGAGAAACAAAAACTGTTATTACTCTACTTTAAACAAAGCTTGAGAAGTGAGTTCCTTGTTCATATCTCCTCTTATGCACTGGTTTTTACTTCTAGTCTCCCTTAATTATCCTGATCTCCTTCTGAAAATGTAACTCTTCTTTCTCATACCTAACATCTCGACATGAAAATCCTCAAAACATACTGTGACTTCCCAGCTGGCTTTCTGTTAATACCAAGTGTAACTGGGGAAACAGAAATGCAAACACAGAGATAAAAGAGGAAGGTAAGGACATTCCTGAGTGGAAAATGGATGTTGAAGGGTGGCAGGAAATACAATGAGAAGCACATGGTAAGCAAATGTATCCAGCGGACAGGATTTCAGATATCATGTTTAGTAAGTTTACTTCCTGTTCCCTGAAATTTCACCACCCAAAGGAAGTCAGCAAGGTATGGAGATTTCCCAGGCACAGCCAAGTTGGCAATACCTGTCAGAAACTCAGTCGTGTGTGCAGGCTTTCTGTGAGGTTTACTACGTAGGAGCTGATGCGAGGTATTTGGCATTCTCTAGTGCTGCAACACGCTCGTGGTTTTGAAAGGTCTAAGAAGAGAGGAAAATAACCATCTCTTCGTGCTTATTCCTCAACTTCAGCAAGTCCCTAAAATTTGGTGTTTTGTCTCCATCTGCCAGAGGCATAAGGCTTACAGATGAAACAAGCTAGTAGCTGGTACAAAGTAAAACAGAAATGAGGCTGGTACTCAAGCAACAGCTGTTTGTGACATGGGATGTGCAAAGACAGTTCTTGGACTGCTACTGAATAAACATTCTGGTGTTAGTTGAGAAATACCAAAAACAAAGTTAATTTTCAAACATCAACCAAACAGAAATGTTTAAATCATTAAAGTTTCTCAAAATATGATAAGACACATTAACACATAAGAGCAAAGTATTACTGTACTACAATAACTACTCTTGCAAACTCCTTGCAAGCACTCAAATACTACTCAGTAAATTCTATTAAAATTTAAACCTACTTATTCCAGTTCCTACTGGACCCATGTTAGAAGCTCCTATTCTTCCTGCAAACCCTCCAATCATTGCACTGCCTAAACAAGGATGGAAAGATAATATACTAATTAATTTAAATAATGACACTTCAAAATGCCCAAGGTACTATACTCACAAATAACTAAACATTCATAAAATTTTCTGGAAACAGAGTTAAAATATTTAAGATACTATAAAAGAGAGACATGAAATTAAAATCCTAAAGTGTTTTCTTCTAGTAACAATTACGTAAATTATAACTTAAAAAATTTTCACCAAAAAGAACAGCTTTTAAGAATATGACCTGCAAAACAAAAAAAGTATGCAACCAGCCCTACCAAGTCTACCAAAGGAATCGCCAAAGCCTCGATTTATTCCAATATCACCACGTCCGAAATCTCGCTCCATGCTACTAGTCACTGCACCACGGTATAGCTCTGAAAAGATGTGCAACAAATTAACCCTTCTTCAAGTATATCAGTACATGGAAAACCATTCAGGAATATGTCTAAGCTAAACTGAAGAAAAAAAAAGCAGAAGTTATCAATGCAAAACAGTCTGTGGCATACCAACTTACCTCTTACCCTCACTACACAACCCACTCCTCCCTGCCATGTTTACAAATGTCCTCTAGGGCCCAAGTGCCTTCTGAAGACCCCCACAGCATCTATTCCTACATGTGTGTCAAAATGAGTATCTCAGTACTAGGGAAAGTAAAGATTATAGAAACCCCCAGAGTTCATTCACCTACCTCCCATTCGGCCAACTCCACCAAATCCTGCCATGCTATTCATTGCTTCCAGACCACCAAACCCAACTCCTACGAAATAGAGAATCATTTTGAGACTTGACTGTAGCTCTGTAGATGAACGGTACATTCTGGAACTGTGAAGTCACCAGTGAGTGCTTCCTCCATTCCACCTTTTGCAGGTACTTAACACATCACCTTCCTTTAAGGGTGTATTAGGCTCAAGTTTGCCAACAGCATTTAGAACATGAGCCAACAATAAACCATGACTTTTTTTCTAAAATTCTCACAGTTTCTAGTTTCTTTAAAATGGCGATGAGTACATGCAAAAACAAATACTTATACATACCTCCTCCAATTCTATTCATTCCTCCAAAACCCGGACCATCCATTCCCATACCTCAAATAAAATACACAGTATGTACTTTCAGTAAATCTTATTTTGTGACTAACGAATGACATTATAGCAAAATAAATACCATTGGTTTAGTCACAATGGAACACTAGAGAAGCAGGTGCAGGGTATAGAAGGATGGTTTACAGAGCTATGTCATAGTGGCTGACTAGTCACCGGTCTTCAAAACAGGCCTCTGAACATCAGACAAGAAAAAAAGAGTTTACTGGTCACAAACAACAGCCAGTTGGAGAGCATCTAGAACCAGTGTGCACTCTTTCAGATACAGTGATGTCACTATAGCAGATTTAGCGATGAGACTACAAAGCAAAGACTCCTCTAAACACAGCAGTTAACAGGTTGGTCAAATTAATAACAAATAGCATGTGTTTAGAAGGGAAGGGTATGATATCCTAAAATAAACAAGAATTTGAACATTTTTGTCTCAGAATGAGAATGATTTCCATCACTACCTTATAATTTATAAAGTTTACATCAACTCAACAAAAAGGAAACTATGACAAATTTATCAGCCCATAAAATGAAATGCAATTTTCAAAGGATGGTCTGGGGACCTCTGAAGGGCCAAGAGATCAAAATAATCTCCATCACTAAATAGTTGTGGGTTGTTTTCTTTCAGCCTCTCATGACTACAACATGGAACTTCCCATAAACTACATGGTGCATGCTATCACAACAAAGGGATGCAGAAACAGCAGTACAGCTATCTAAATTAACTCAAACACTATGGAGAGATGCCAAAAACAGAATCACTCTTCTCATTTTTATTAGAAATATTTTATTTTTTTTAAATAGTACTTACGTTAATTACATGTTTCATATTATATGCATTAAATATAATTTTTAAGGTTAAAATTGGCATCAGGGTCAATTATGACTTCTAAATAAGTCAATTTTTACAATTTTAATCTTTTTATAATACAATAAATATTAAGAAACATAACATTAGCCAAATCATGTTACAGTTTTCAAACCCGAAAGAATAAAGTTTGCTGACTTAAAAGCTGAAAACCAATCTCTAAAGATAATTGAATCCAAGCAGCAGGCAAATAGCTACCTCAAAGCTACCTTCCAAATGAAATAAATTTAAGTTGCCTATGCTATGGCATGTTGCTACGCATTCCACAAACTCTGTATTCCACAATGTACAGGGCACTATGTTAAGAATTCCTCTATCTTAAAGCCACTTCAATATGCATGGCACTCAGGGGCAAGCTTTCACATGCCTGGCCCCAGAAGCAGTCCCGATCTCCATCTGTCCCCTTTTCATGTCAGCTGCTCTCTCAAGGTTTCGTTATTTCCTTTTCAAACTGAACTGACACCCTAAACATCTCTAAAACAGAGTTCTCTAGACAATGAAACTAATAATAAATATAAGCTTTATTAAACAGCAAATAGATCACTTAGAAATGTTTCAAGAAACTTACCACTTGGACCCAAATTTCCCATTACACCACTTATGTTCAACTGGCTGGCACTAATAGGTTGTCCACCTGGACCAAGTCCCATTCCAATGCCTCCAAGACCACCTAAATCACAAATAAGAACATTACCAAAACTCATATAAAACTAACTGGTACTAACCTTTCAAACTAGCTGTATGCTTATAATAGTATCCTACAAGGTTACAAACAGCAAGGGTTCTTGTTTTCATTTAGAAAGCACCATATTATGAATGAACAGAATTTTACAAAGTAGGTTTGAGCTTATACTCCACTTGAAGGTACTGAGAGAGGCCTAACAAACTGGCAAGAAAGGAGCTGATGAAATGGCTCTGTGAGTAAAGGACTTGCCTTGCAAACATGAGGACTTGACTTCAATACACAGAATACACACAGTTATAAGGCCAGGAATGGTGATGAACACATGTAATCTTAGTGCTGTGAGGTAACAGATCCCTAGGGCTCATTAGCCAGCCAGCCTCGCTTACACGGCAAGTTCCATGCAGTAAGAAACTCTGTATCAAAAAAATAAATACTGCCTCAAGAAAAACACCCAAGGCTGTTTTCTGGCCTCACTTCCACACCTACTCACTCCCAACCCCTGCAAAACACACACACACACACACACACACACACACACACACACACACACACACACACACACACCAAGAAAGTGTGGAATCCATTACTTCATGTTACACTGTTGTAAACTCTCTTCTCTAGAACGATATGGCCACGACCATCTTAAGATCAGAGCAGTTGTGATGATAACCCACTAGAGACACTCCCAAAATTACTAATATTCCTTTGTGTAACGAAGAGAGCTCAACAAGATGGCACTTATACCCCAGAGGAGTTAACTATTGGCTTGGGAAGTGGGGTAGGGATGACACACATGCCTATTTCTTGCTGGTATAGCTACCTGTACGTTGCCCATGCTTCTGTAAATAACCACAATTCACCAATTCAGCAAATGAGACTTGGGTGAAGTCTTTCTTTAGTTTATGGCTGTTACCCCTTTTGGGGTGAAGAAACGTTTGTCAGGCATCCTCAGATAGTCACACAGTACATATACACACCTGAAAATGAGCATCTTGCCCAGATTGAGGAACCACTAAAAACAGTGCTACTTTCAAAATAGTACAAATAAAACTGAAAAGTCAACAATTACTGAAGACATAAGACTGAGCTCGAGCAGTGGATACAACCTTTAGTCAGCATGCTCAGCACTCAAAGGCAGAGAGAGAGAATTGAGCTCAGGACCAGTCAGAGCTACATAGTAAGACCCCTGTCTCAAACAACCAACACCAAATCCATTTTTTAAATTCATAATAATAAGGGTCTGAGATGGCTCAGTGATTAAGAGCACTCGTTACTCTTGCAGAGGACCTGGCTGGGTTCAGTTCTCGGCACCACATAGCAGATCACATGCATATATAACTCCAGTTCTAGGATCCGACACCTTCTTCTGGCCTCCATAGACACTGCACACAGCTAATGCAGAAAAACACCCATATATATAAATTATCTTTTAAAAATCCACAACGTTTTAAAAATCAGTATTAACTGCCTGGCTTTATCATGACCATTTATTTACCTTTACAAAATAAATGTCCTCTTATCTATTAAGCAAATATAAGGAATTTTTGAGACCTTAAATTGCTTGAACTCTGCCATCTATGTATTTAAATTTAGGTTTTATGTCTTGTCTTTAATTTCAGGTTTTTTGTTTTCTTTATATATATACTGATGCTCTTTAAGTAAATAAATAAATAAATTGGAACTACCAGGTGACAGTGGCGCACGCCTTTAATCCCAACACTCAGGAGGCAGAGCCAGGCAGATCTCTTGTGAGTTTGAAGCCAGCCTGGTCTACACAGTGAGATCCAGAACAGGCACCAAAACTACAGAGAAACCCGGCCGGGGCGGGGGGGGGGGGGGGGGGGGGAGGGAGGGAGGGAGGGAGGGAGGGAGAGAGAAAGAAAGAAAGAAAGAAAGAAAGAAAGAAAGAAAGAAAGAAAGAAAGAAAGAAAGAAAGAAAATTGGAACTATAACCACTCCTAGGCATATATCCAAAGAACTTCAAATCCTTACACATCCATGTTCATTACTGCTCTATTCACCATGGGAAAAAACAAAAAATAAAAAAGGAAACAGCCTAAATATCCACCAAAAGATGGAGAGATAACAAAAACATGCTAATATACACAATGGAGATTTATTCAGCTATAAAAGAAAAATGAAATCTGGAGGGAAAAAAATGGGGAACTGTAAAATATAATATTAACTGTGATTGGTCAACTCGGAAAAGCCCTGCATGTTTCTCCCTCACTTGCAGACCCCAGCCCATAATGTGTACATGACTAAAGTAAACAGGTGTAGGCTGGGTCAAGTGCAAAGCTGCGGAAGTTGGGCTTTCTTGTAATGCCATCAACCGTTAACATAAAAGGAAGCAGACATGAATAGTCACTAAGCCTATCTGTTACACTGCCCAGTTAGAATAAAAGTAAGGTTTAAAACAAAAAATTTTTAGGGGGTGGAGATCTGTTACCAGAATGAAATTTTCCTTCTGTTTCAAACTTTATTATAGTGCTGTTTAAGGTATAAATAGCACTGCTACAGACAAAGTACAGAGATTTTTGTTGAACTGGAAATGTATGGTATATATACACAATGAAGTTTTACTCATCCACAGAGAAGAATGACATTATTTTCAGGACAAGAGAACCGGAGATTACCAATATTATGTGAAATACACTAGACTCAAACACCATATTTTCTTTCATGAAGACTTTAAACTTAAACACGTGACATGAAGTAGAAGAGGACTATAAAGGAGGAGGAAAAGAACTAAAAGAAGTAACGGGAGTGAAAAAGACAAAATACTGCATGTCGTCTCTCATATGTAGAATACAGATTTCATTCTCCATATACATAACATACACATGTGTGGCATGAAAGAAGGCAGATTATCTGGGAAGAAGGCCTGTGCCACCAGGCATGGCTTAAGACATCTTAAGAAAATAATGAAAAACAGCCAATATTTTTATACAAAAGTACAATTTACTGTTATGCTGGTTAACAGATCTAAGATAATCTCTGAGGCACCAAATGTATCAAAGTCACATTAAGGAATGAAAATACACACTTCCAAATTTGAATTCTCCACTTGTCTCTGTATCTTCCATCTGTCTGTAGGTTGTAGTGACTGCACTGTCTACAGTCTGTTTTACATGTCTGTGACTGCCTGAATACTGTTCTGATGTCTAACTGTCCCTACGTCTGCCTATCTCTAACATAGAGCTTTACCCTGTATTCATCAGCCAACACAAAAGCCTGGCATGGGATGGGATAAAAGGTTCTTCAGAAATCTTTAACAGAACTTTTACAAGGGAAGAGACTTAACTGACGCAGAATAGTAAACAACACTGCAAACAGATTATCTAGCAATATCCTATGTTGCTTCCAACATTTATGGTGGATATTTGTTTTAAGGTTGCTTTCAACCTGTTGGCTGTATTCAGCAAATGATTACCACAACATATACAGACACATCACTCTGGATCAAGGGCATGCAAGAATACAAAACTTACAATTAAAGGTAGGTTAAGTTTTAAAAGCTGATTGCCTGGGAGATCCAACACATAGTGAGGTTGGTTATTATACTTTTCTCTTAAAGAAAGGTTAAACTTAAACAGGCTGAGTACACAGTAGGACAGCAGGTTAATACATAGTCTTAAATGTTCTCAAGGGGTATTATTAACTTGGTTGTGGGGTCCAGTAAAAGTTAACTCTCTTTGAATGCAAGGTATTTTCCTAAGACTACATCATACTCTTGTTGGTTATTAAAGAAATAAAGGTTAAAACATGTAAAACACAGAACAGCAAAATGATTATGAGAATACCAGTAAAAATATTTGGAAAGAATTTTCAACATGGAAAATTGTTGTACTTTATTGTTAAGCCCAACCTCTAAATAACTGATATAGTAGTTTGAAGTTATTTAAATGCACATACATACACATACGCACAAGGAAAGATAGCAAGAATATAGGTAAAAATGTTAAAAATGGTGGAAAACTATGGTAAAATTATAGGATTTTTTCCCCTTTTTGTATATGAACTCACCAAATACATTAGTACTCATTAACTAGGTGGTCAAAAACAAACAAACAAAAAATAAATTTAAAAGAAGTCCCATATATATCTTTTCAGTCTTTACCAAATCAAAAGCAGCAGCACACTTTCCAAAATACCAATCGAATCTCAAGAGGGTGAGAAGTGTGAGAGCGACTTCAGCATAGGCCTAAAAACAGACTTCTGCTTTGTACATAATGCAAAGCCAACACACAAACAAAAAACTCCAGCTGCTTTCTAACAACAACTGCTACTTACGTGGTAATTGTGATGTCTTACTATCATGTGAGCGGTAGTCTTCATGAGGGACAGATTTGTCATCCTAATTGCAAAAAAAAAAAAAAAATTATTATAGTTAAAAAACAGCAAACAAGAACTGTTGTGCTAGGGACAGGTCTGAAGAAGTGAAGGCTGAGATGAGAAGTAGGAACTCACCATTTTCACATGCATAGGTCTATCAAATAAAAACTGCCCATTGAACATGGCTGTTGAGTCAGTCAAGGAAAGCCAGTTATGATGACTATAAAATTATACTTGCAGACAAATTATCATATTTAAAGAGTCTGAAACTTTCTCTACTATTTTATCATTAGACTTTATTTATACTAGTCTCTTCCTCTGATTTATAACTTAATTAACCAAAAATTAATTAGGTTTCATTTAAAGCAACTGCACCGACATACAATGGAGTAAGGGTCAAAATGTGCATACACACACATACCTTGCTGCAGCAAGAAGGAAGAGCAGAAAACAAGTTCATACCAGCCCTGGGTAGCATGGCTAATTCAAGTTTGAAGAGTGACTCTACTACTTAACAAAGAACAAGTCTTAGTGCTGCAGACAAGAGCCTAATTTCTAAGCAAGGCAACATTACATAACATGAACAAGAAACATACAAAGGTATTAAGCCTCACCAACTTCATTTAATGCTAAAATACAAATCAGGATACAAATTGCTTGAACTGCTTCAATGGCTTGCTCAAAAGTGACAGTACCCATGCCTCTGCTCTTGCCGTCCTTGTCTTCTTTAATATCTGCCCGCTTTACGGTTCCAGCTATGCTGAACACTTCCTTCAGCTTCTTCCAACCAACTTTGAAGTCAAGCTTAACATAAAATTGTATAAAGTTACATTCCTAACAAATGTTCCTCCCTGCTCGTGAATATAAAATAATCTTTTCCAAACTCATAAAACTATGAACTGTAATTCTTGTTCAACAATATACCAATGATGTTGGAATCAAAAAGGTCTTGTTGAAATTAGTTCAGCTACATCTACCTTCATTTAAATTCCCCTAATCATTTTTCAGTTCCTCAATCTTGTTGCATACATGTGAAACAAGGCATCTATTTTGACTAAGGAAAATTCAGGTTTTGGAAACCACTGTTTCCAAACTTTCAAGATCATAAAACAAATGGCAAACTAACCACAACAGGCACTTAAGCACCAAGACTATAAGAATGAAATTCAACTACCAAGATAAACAAAAATACACATAACTGACTTAAAAAACAGTTCAACATCCAAGAATTCCAAAGTTCTGTCTTAAAATGCTAACTAGTTGTATTTAAAATTTAACTTCAGACTACGTACATAAATTCAGTTTGAGTTTAGAATAATTATATCTTTATTTACTTAAGTTAAAAATAAAAAGAATGATCTACAAACCTATCAGCATATATCTAACAAAATAATGTCATGATGAGAGTTAAGTATCAGAATAACAAAAGATTAAACTAAAGTTTAAACTTACATTAGCAACAAAAATTGTGGACCCAAGTCTACCAGCCTGCAAATTGCTGATAACCTCAGGAGGAATGTTTGGGTTATTGAGAATGGAAGGTGGCAAATTCACCAACCCAGATCCCACATCAGAGGCATGTGATCCTTGAAATGATGTTCCTGTTCGCTGCAGTGCCCGGCGAGCATTTTCTCCATCAGGATCCTACAAAGCACATTGAATATTAATTGCCAGCAAATACAACAGTGAATATATACGATTCAAGTAGCTTAAACTCAACAGCAGCTAACCCATCTGGACCAAAGTACTGACATCTGTGAGGACTAAGGTTTTACTTATTCTGTTGTCTTTGTTTATCTAGGAAATGAGTCCCATAAAAACCTGTGGCTAGACAAAAGATTTCAGACTCCAAAGCTGAGTTAAGTACCTTTTTCCAGTCACTGACGCCACACAGAAACTTGAAACTAGTTTTGTTTTGCTCTTATACTGATGTAGAAGTGTGTGGTATACACATATAAATGCCCTTAACTCGGGCTGGAGAGATGGCTCAGCCGTTAAAGGCTAGGCTCACAACCAAAAATAAATGCCCTTAACTCAAAGAGTAGCAAAACACTCACTGTACCTCTCTTCTTTCCACAGAACAGTAAAGGTGAACTCTCACCACTAGATAGCCAAGGAATGTCAGATTCTGACTAATTTACAGCCTCTTATTAGCAGAACACACTACTATAAACTCAGGAATACTGATAGAGAGGAAGGTTTATTATCACTGATTAACTTCACTCCTGAACAAAATACAATAATCCATTTTATAATCTCTTAGCTTCCTCAACAATGAAAGGACCTGTGTTGGGAAAAGGGAAGGGATAACAGAAGGCCAAGTATCCAAGTAAAGAATTACAGCAGGTACTTTTAGGTTCATTAACTTTTAAAAGAAATAACCTTTATTAAAAGAAAAGTCAAGTAAGAATGTGTTTCATCCACTCATTCCACTATGTAGAAGGCCAACAACAAAACACATATAAGACTACTTAAATTGAGAGGACTATCATCTGCATGCAAATTATTATGCCAAAACTTCTACTTTCTCACTCATGAACTCATAGCACTTGTGCTTGCCTGCACAAGACCAATCCGGCTAACATCCTAACATGAAATGAAAAGGGACTCAAGAGCTTCTACCCATGAGGGATCTAGTGGCAGTTGATGGCTTCTAGGGAAGAGTCAGTTTTCTTTAAGGGTGGGATCCCTGGATAACAGTGGATGACCACCACCACCCCCCGGCCCCTCCCTCCCATGCACACATACACACACACACACACACACACACACACACACACACACACACACACACACACACACATACACACACACACACACACAGGACAATATGGGTAGCTCAAACCAGACTCAGGTTTGAAAAGCTATTTGGAAGAGACACAAAGAGAGCTGGGCGAAGAGGCAGGTGGATCTTTGTGAGTTCGAGGCCAGCCTGGTCTACAGAGCGAGATCCAGGAAAGGAGCAAAGCTACACAGAGAAACCCTGTCTCGGAAAAAAAAAAAAAAAGAGAGAGCTGGGCGAGCAGGGAGGTAGGAGTGGATATAAATATATATATGAAATTCTCAAAGAATAAAAATGTTATATCAAAAACTCTGCTGTTCTCAGTCTGTAAATACTGATAAAAAATAAAGTAAAATAAGGAAGGATGACTTTAATAAATTCTCTCATAGCTAGAAGGACAAAAGGAAGGGAAAAAAAGAATGAATGGAAGAATGAGTATGCTGGACTCCAATGTGTTTGTTTCCTCATGATAAAGAAATGAAAGGATGATGAAAGTGAAGAAATAATTGTTACAAAAGAATGCTGTAAGACGTTTAAGTTAATAAATAGTTAGGATGGTTAGTGCTCATTCTGTCACTAGAAAGAATCTAGAATCACCTGGGAAATGATTTCTGGGCCTGCTGGTGGGGAATGGCCTTGATTAATTAATTCTAACTACTCTGAACTGTGAGCAGGACCGTGCCCTGGACTGGATCCTGGAGTGCATAAACTGAAGGAAGTGAGCAGAGCATGCATTCCTATCTCTCTGCTTCCTGATTACGGACGCAGCTGTCGCAGAGGCCTGCTGCCTTCAGTTCCCCACAATGATGGATCACACTGCAAACAAAAACTAAAATAAACTCTCCCGTAAGTTGATTTTATTCTAGTATTTTATTACAGTGACAGAAAAGAAATTAAGACAGCCATAAATATTTCAGGTTTGAGAACTGAAAAACTTACATAAAAAAATAATTTGAGAATAGTGGTTACCTACACAGGAGTATTAAAAAAAAGAGAGAGCTCCTTCAACTATTAAAATACATAGGTTGTTTGTATTAACAGTAGTATATTTGTTTCATCACACATAAACACTACAGACATTATATATATACACATAAATCACATATGATATTACTTAGTTTTTATTCCTCTTTTCCCCTTGCTGTTCAGCCTGCCAATCACTGTTAATGCTATTAGTGGACCTACTAATACATGTACAACTCCGACTGATCTTCATGCAATTGGATAGAATTCTAAAGGCCTGCTAAGTAATACTGCAAACACACCTTCATTAGATAACCATGCAAGCAGTCCTGAGCAGTTTTATCAACCACTGATTTGTAAATCAGATATTAACAGAAAAATGACTGCTTTTACTGAACATTAGCCAAAGAGTTAAATAGATCCTTCACTATTTAGTAAAGTGAAATTTGACCCTATTTTTCCTTCTAAAATAGTTAAAAATAGAGGCATCCTATACCTTCATTCTAGGGTCTCCACAACAGATCTAGGCTCTACAATATGCTGCAACTTAAAGGAACACAATCACATGACCTAAGTCTTTAACACCCAGTCAATTTTGTCAATTAAAAACAGAAAGATACTATAAACACAGTATCCTTAATGTCTATAGTATCTCTATGGAGCTTTTATACTTGTTTCCTTTAAAGAGAAACAGGATCATAAAATAACAAATTATGATCATTAAATTATTAAAGAATTATAAATTGGGACAAATTATTTAGAATGTCAACACATTTCTAAAGCCTTGCCCTGGCTTATTCATAAAAGCACCAAATAAATAACTAGTCAAAGCACAAAGCTTAAACACTCCCTACCAAATCTCCAGGTCTCTGTCAATCTTTTTTAGATAATTATAATCCCAGGATCAAACAAGACTCAAAAAATTTGGAAGTTAATTCCAGTAAAGAATATAGGACACATGACTATTTTGGTAGCAAGCCATTGAAGCTATGATCATACTAAAGAACAAGATATCAACCATCACTAACAGGAATAGATTTTGCAGCTTTCATTTACAATACAGTTAGACTATTTTAAGTACTGTGCTAACAGCTTTACATAATTATATAACAAGGATAGTAACTAGAAAACATTGGTTAACACTTTGAGTCTTTACAACACTACCTGAGATTCTAGTATTTCTCCTATCTCAGTGACAAGGAAATGTAACAAAGCTTAAGTGATTTGCTCTGCCTGGGTTATTCAGCTATTCTAGTGACAGAGAATGAGTTATAACCTATTTATCACACTTGATCTTCATAAAAGTCACATTAGGTATTACCAGTGGTATTATAATAAGTACTAAAGACTAGAGAAGAGAAGCCACATGCCTTGTCACCTGGCTAGAAAAGGGTAAGCTGAACTCAAAATCACTGTTCTCCTGTTGAATGCCAGCCAGTGAATAGCATCAGTATTAGCACATTTCAAAGACTCAAAACAACATTACCCATTTCTTTCTTTTCCTTTTTTCTTTCTTTCTTCCTTCCTTTCTTTTTTCAGTTTTATGAGACAGGGTTTCTCTCTGTGTAGCCCTGGCTGTCCTGAAACTCGCTCTATAGACCAGGATGGCCTCCAACTCAGCAATCTGCCTGCCTCTGCCTACCAAGTGCTGGGATTAAAGGCATGCACCACCACTACCCAACTGCCTATTTCTTTCAATACAGATTTAGCAAGAATATGTGTATAAATGGGTCTATGTTCAAACTATTATGGTAAAATTAACAACATAAAATAAAATAAGCTCCTTATTACCAAGATCAATTACTCCTATAAGTGGTATTTTGTAAAGTACCTTCTGATCATTTGCCAATCTATTTATACTACCACAACTCTATACAAAGAGAGAATTCACATTGTAGATTATTCTAAATTCTAGTTATACACCTAAGTTATAATACTTCTTAAATTCTAATCTAAATTAATTTTATTAAAGACGAATACCAATCTTATTCAAATCCACAAGCTCAGTGTACTATCAAGCAAGTAGTAATCAATTATAACACCTATTGAATTTTCAAATTAAATAATAGTCTAAAAACTGAAATAGTTTATAGCAAAGTCTTCACCTTAAGTTTGTCATCTTTAAATTTATGGGTCCTGATCTTTTTTTTTTTTTTTAATTGAGGACCTCCACCTAGCTGTGACACGAAATCAATTAAATATAAAGAATAACGTAAGGATTAATAGCAAATCATCTATAAGCAAAATTATCACTAGCTGCCAGGCGGTGGTGGTGCATGCCTTTAATCCCAGCACTTGGGAGGCAGAGGCAGGCAGATCTTTGTGAGTTCAAGGCCAGCCTGGTCTACAGAGCGAGATCCAGGAAAGGAGCAAAGCTACACAGAGAAACCCTGTCTCGAAAAACCAAAAAAAAAAAAAAAAAAAAAAATCACTAGTTACAATTCTTTAATAAGCATCTATCCTTAAAAAAACAAGTTGTCAGACAACTAAATATGAAAAAATGAAAAGTGAAAGGAAGCATGTCCATATAATATTTAAATTCCAAATACAAAAAAATATTTACCTCTTTAATATTCAGAGGTCTTCCACTAAGGTCATATTTGTTCATAGTTTCTAGTGCTTTCTTTACAAATTCTTCATCTTTGAATTCAACCACACTTAACAGGGAAAAAAATATATAAGAAATGCTTATTACAACGATTTCTTACTCCTAGTCACAAGATTAATTTAACTTAAGATACTTAAAAAAAATTCTTACCCACAACCCTACATCCAGTAGATTGTCAATATATGCAAAAGAAAAAAAAACATTTTAGGTTAGTAGTTGAAGTTAATGGAAGACTCTAATATTTAAGTCATTAAAAGTAATCAAGGACACATTTTCTTTTTTCTTTTACACCTCCAGAATGTAATAAGCAAGTGACCATGCATTTTCTACAAATTTTTAAATCCATCTAATATGTTATAAGCTTGGAGTACATTCTTACTTTCAAGTGACAGTGACTTTCCTTAAAATTAAAACTAGTACCACTGTACAAATTCAGTCAACAGTAAATAAAGGAAGAAACTTAAGGCTCCAATATACATGTTCTTACACAGTAGTAAGTATTTTAAAAGATGTAATGCATACAATATACTGTTTAAATCTAACTAAAATAGCAAATAAACATGATTTTTTTTTTTACAATTATTATTTTATGTGTATGGATGTTTTCCCTGCATGTATGGTTATACACAATGTGGGTCTAGTGCCAACAGAGGCCAGAAGAGGATACCAAATCCCCTAGAAGTTTCAGATGGTTGTGAGCTGCCATGTGGTGTTAGAAATTGAGCCCAGGTCCTCTGGAAGAGCAGTCAGTATTCTTAATTGATGAGCCATCTCTCCAGCCCCCATGAACTTTATGTTTACTAAAGTTATCTATTAGATTAAAACTGGCTGCACACAATTTAGGAACATCTAGTTGGAAGCATGTAAAACAAATTAATCATACTAAGGAAACTTACAGAATCATTTTTTAAAAATAATTCCTGTGATTACTATTCAATATTGAATATGATGACAAAGTTTGTATTTCTCATGTACCCAACCATTTTATGAATATGATGAGACACTATTAAGAGTTTTCCATTATATTCTTCGGTATACACATGCTGCTAAATCAAAATCTATCATCAGCCTTCTAGGTCAACTTAGTCATAGACATCATTCATACCAATTGGTCAGAGCACTGCCCCTTACATGGTCCTGGAGGCTACCAAATTAAGCTTTTCAATAAAAGTTTCAAAATTATATTCTAAATTAACACCTTTAAGCCACAGGCCTCTCATGAAACTCTTGGGAATATTATCAATTCAGTGACTTTTAAAATATCCCTGAAGACATCAAAATACAACAAAAAAAACTATATTAAAATTTTATTAGCTAAGAAAAAGCATACCTTAAAGCATTAGAAAAATGAATGTCCTTTATGAATATTTGCAAAACCCATCATCCCTTTCAGGAAGCTGGTTTGGTTGGCATATCAGACTTGCTAGTATAAAAACCTCAAATCTTAAAGTAAAACAAAATGAAACTTAAGTTTCCAAAAGTCTGATAGAGTATGATACAAAAGTAAACTGCTGAGGAACTTTTAAACCTCGAGCAGATTATGGCCCACAGCACTTACCCTTGATTTTCCTTCCGCATCCTTAAAGAGCTCCACGTATGTAACCTCACCAACTACATAAGACATACAAAAGGAAGATACCAAGAAACAATACATTTAAACACCAGTATCTTGCTTTACTGCACACCTGTGCACAACTCTACAGAAAAGCACCTATTATTCACCAGCAATCAGGACCAGATCAACATACCTCCTATCAATAGCTATAGAAATTTAACTAATTTTCAGAAATTACATCATCCACATTCTCTAAAAAAGCTAACAACCATATTAACCCAATTCATACTGCAGATCATATTTGGCCAGCATGATGTGGTTGGTGAACAAATGCACATATACATACAAATGATCCCTCAGCCTGTCATATTAACAACATTAGCACTTTTCAAATAACTTTGGTCAGCCTACACACAACAGCTGTTTTAAGGTGACTTCCTACCTGAATGTCTTCAATCATGTTTGCCATCAGTAAACTAAATTTACAAGTCATGCTTCACAGCAAGCCACACACTTCTAAATAAAGTCAGTGAATAAAACCAGTCAAATAGTTGTCACCTTACAACAGATACACCAATGCAATTGAAAAATATATATTAGAGATCACCCTCAAAGCCAAGTACATAGTTTGCAGGACTGTTGAACCTCAATTTTTCAAGAGATAACAGAACTAACTTTTACAAGATCAAGTATTGAAATTATTTTCCCCCAAAACCAAGCATGTGCATAAGATGAAGGTTTTCAAGTTATTCTGAAAACCGAACTGCAGCAGCAGTGACACAAATTTAGTACAGAACTGCAAAGACAGCATCATGGCAGTCGTGACAATGCAAGCAAAAGGAATTCCACAGCCAGATTCCAGACTCCACCAAAAACATCTTTGGGGGAAAAAAAAAATCGACCTTATTATACATACATTAACAAGCTAGATGCATTGCTTAACTAATGCAACAGTCCTTAAAAATCTATAAAAACTTCAACTAGACAAAGCAATCACTTTAACAAAATTCTTGGTGGCATGCAGATGCTGGCTTCACTATCCCACTAAAATGGCAAAAAGAAAAAGACTTCATTTATCCATACTTCCTTGTAATGAAATTGCCAAGTGGAAGAAAAAGAAAAGATTAATTCACATGTCAAGAAAGTAAAGTCTTTTGTTTTTTGAGTCTGTGTGGCTAAGAGGAATAAAAAGTTTGCTTATTTCCTCCCCTTCCTATGACAATTACAACAGTAAGTTACTGTAGAAATCGTTACCTTTTTCTCTCATCAAGTCTTTAATAGCCTGCCATTTCATGTCATAGGGGATGTTGCTAATGAACACTCGATTCCGATTTGGACCTTTCTTTTCTCCAGTACCCGAATTCTTATCTTTTGAATAAGGATGAAATCGATTGGCCTTCTTATTTCCTGTAGACTTTTCTTTTAAATCAGATTTTTCTTCTTTCACTGATTCATCATTCTCCCTGTGAATTACAAGACAAATAAAAGCATCTTCAGTTGAGCTCTAAGAATGGAACTCTTGTGGGTCAATCATGCACATTTGTCATTTCACAAAATTCTCAATTAAGCTAGAACTCAGTAAAGAAGCTGGAGGTCAGCCCAAGAGCTCCATACTGTTTAAGCTTATCAATTTCTCAGTTAACAGTTGGCATTTTTCTTCTGTTAACAGTTGTAAGCATCCCAAAACTCAGTTTTTCCCAGCATACTACTTAATAAATATTATTAGACCTTATGGCAGAAACATGTAAGTTATCTCAATATCACATTTATGGAAGAATTAACTTTTGGGCTTCCTTCAACTCTAAAACCCAATTGGGGCCAGCAAGAGGGCACTTGCTGCAGGAGCCTGATGACCTGAGTTCAAATCAGAACCCACGTTAAATATGAGAGGAGAGAACTGACTATGCAAATTTGTCCTCTGATATCAATATGCACTCCATGGTTCACACGCTCACACATACACATCATACACACAACACACACACACACCAATGTGCAAAATAAAAAAAATGTAATGTTTTAACTAAATTAAAATGTAAAACCTAATTCCTACTTGATGCATGGTGACACACACTTATAATTCAAGCACTCATGAGACAGAAGCAGAAAGATTACCACAAGTTTCAAGACAGCCTGGTATATACAGTAAGTTCTAAGTTAGCCAGCTAGATCAGAGCTACATAGTCAAGACTCTGTGCGCCCCCAAGTAAATAAATAAATAAACAAACTAAAATGATTATCTGAGAATTTTTCTTACTTACAGATTAGCAAATTTTCCCTAGAATCTTCTCCTTCCCTTAAAATCATAATCAAAATATACAGTCACATCTATCTACTTACTTTAACACATGTATACACTCATATTCACTATACGTCAAGTTTTATCTATTCCCTACTTTGATAAACACAGGAAATTTAAAAGGCACCCTACTATCTTCATATTGAACATAGGCTAGGACACTTCACAGAATTGTCTTTTACTAGTAATGCTATCTATAATGAAAGGATTGAGTTGAAGAGGGGGAAGATAATTAAACACATCATGAGGTAGAGTTTATCAGTCTTTTTTAATGGAGCTAATTGGAAAAAAATAATTTGTAAGACTTTAATCACAATGCAACTATTATGATGTTATATACCAACATAGGAATAAATAAGATATATACTTAAAGTGTATAAATGGTTATATACTTAAAGTGATCCCTGCTGATTAAAATCTGGATTAATATTTAAAAATACAATTTATATTTTAAAGCAGTATACAGGTGCATGCATGTGTGCAGGTGCACATTCATGTCTGTGAGTATATGTATGGAGACCAGGGGACAGCCTCAGGAACGTCATTCCTGTCTTTGAAATAGTGTCTGTCTTCCAACTGACGCTCCCCAAATTGGCTAGACTGGCTACCCAGGGAAACCCAGGCATCCTCCTGTCTCCTTCTCCCCAGTACTGAAATTACAAGAACACACTTCCACGCCCAGCATTTTCACATGGCTCTGGAGATCAAACTCAGGTCCTCACTGCACATAAGGCAAGCACTTTTTCAAATGTGCTAGCTCCCCAGACCTTGAAAGCAATCTTGTTACAGAAACAACAGGAGATTTAACTCACGGACTGCTTTAGTCAGCCTAAAGTAATTTCATTAACAAAATATCATTAAGGCAATTTTTACAAACTTTAATGCATCAAAATCTCTAAGAATAATGAGCAAGAAAATAATTTTTTTGGAACTTCATTGATTATTCTAACGACAAACGAAATGTTATAATCCAGGCTATAAATTCTAATGTGAGCAATTTTAGAAAGCTATCAACAAACTTCTTACTGCATTAATATGAGAATTTTACTTCTTAGACACCACTCTCCTGAAGGGCAACAATACTGCCATGAATAAAGTACATAAGGTCTTTGAGAATAAACCCTATCTCCTTTGGTATCCACACTGTATCTAGCACAGTGACTGACTATAACATGTGGTGGATAAACTGTAATTTTTCTATTATCAGTTAAGGACCCACACTCTGGAGGTTGGGAAGATGGCTCAATTGGTAAAGTGCTCACTATGCAAAACTGAGTGCCAAGGTTTGGATCTCCAGCACCCACATAAGCAGCTGGGTGTGGAAACACACATCTGTAACTCTACAGCTGGGGGTGGAGACAGGTGGATTCCGAACCTCACTGGCCAGTCAGTCTAGCCTTGTCAGTGAGCTTTAGGTTCAATGAGAAACCGCTGCATGTACGCGCGCACACACAAACAAACCCAGCTCACTGAAAATGGTGATGCATGCCTGTAATACCAACACTCAAGAGTTAGAAGCAAAAGGATGGCCAAGAGCTGAGGGCCAGTCTGGACTATGTAGCACCACGCTAGCCAGGACCCTATCTCAAAAACAAATAAACAGAATCCATACTCTGAACAGATGGTGTCACCATCTTTGAGAAATACTCTTAAAATCAAGGAAGAAATATTAGTACCAAACTTGCTTCACCACCTATTCAGATTTTGACAGGAACATCATCTTTATCATCCTTACTCTTTCATAAAAACAGCATGACCTGAAATGGGTCTTCTCAACTGCTCAACTCTAGAATGCGTCTCTGTGTGAACAGAGCGGCATTTCTGAGAATAGAAACAAGCAACCAAAATGTACAATGCCTCTTCTCTGGTTCCGAGCTACAGCAGACATAACAAACCTTTCTTTTTAATTCCCCTGAAGAACTATCTGCATAATAATGTGCTCCCACTGAATTCACTGAATGTTTCCAGTTTGGGGTCAGGTAAGAAGATATCTAGTCTTTTGATAAGCATCCTCGATGAAATCCACTGTGAAAATGCACAGAATTCTGAAGTACTAAGTTCCTCTATTCTTCACCTGGCTGAAGGTTATGTGACTGTGATAAACATTTGCTTACAATACTCTTGACCATTCATTAAAAAATACGTTATTTGGATATTTTCTTTTTGTTTACTTAAAGGATAACCAGAGAGCAACTAAAAGTTTCTTGAAAAATCAGAAGCCAAACTATGAAATGACCTAGCAATTCCACTTTTTGTATATAACCAAAGGAAATAAAATCATCTCGATATCTGAATTCATATTCACTATATCGTTCACAATAACTTAAGATATGGAACTGAACTAACTAGAAGTCTGCTGATCAATGAAAGGTTAAAGAAAAGGTGGGTGTGGGCATGTATATATTCTGGATGTATACATATACATGCAAAGACACACACACACACACACACACACACACACACAGAGATAGATTGATTCAGTCTTAGGAAGGAAAGCCTGCCGTCAGCAGCAACCTAAAAAAACCTGGAGGACAGTGTGCTAAGTGAAATAAGCCAGACACAGAAAACCGAATACTGCAGGACATAAAAAACAAAACTCATAGAATCAGAGTGCAACGATCATTACCAGAAGTATAATGAGATGTCTGCCTAAGAATATAAATTTCCACTTGCCAAATAAGTTCTGGAGACAATATGTAGTATAACTATAGTTAACAATGACACACTGTACACTAGAAAATCACTAAGAATGCATCATAAATATTTGCAATACTTACAAAAGATGCTAGCTACATGAAGTCGCAGGTATATTAATTAGCTCAATTATAATAACCATCGTATAATATTTAGAGCAAATCAAAACATCATGTTGTTTATCTTCATATACATAATTTTTATTTTTCAATTATAACTCAGCAGAGCTGAGAAACAAACATCACAGTTGTGATCTTCACTCATGATAAAACTGATGCTTTATTAGTAAAGACTTCACCATGTCCCAATGCTGGATATTTTATAAATAGCACAATGTAAATACGTTTATAATTATACAAGACTAATGAAGAATTACAAGACAATTGCTACTTTCCTTCCAATTAACTCAAGCGTAGAAAGAGGGAACAGTAGCTTTAATTCCTGTCTAAAGAACAAGCCAACTAAATCTTTTGCATGAGTTCCATGATCACAAAAGTTCTTCCTGTATTTCTTCAACAGATACTCACTAGACCTTTAAACTTTAAGGCCTCAAGGTACACAGATGAAAAAGACTATGAATTAATTTAAACACAGTCCCTTCTGCTGACAGCAGCACTTAGTTCACTTCTAAGCAGTGTTTGTTGTAAAGTAGCATCTGGTCATCACAATTATTTTAACGAATTCTTATCACTAACAGCATGGTAATCAGTCCAAGGTTTGGGGTTGTCAACCACCCCTTATAGGTTCACAGTAGATGCACGTAAGACTTAAGGCTCTACTTGTTCATTGTGAGTACCTCATGCTGCCCCATCTGATAACATTAATTCCCTTAGGAGTATAGTGGTGTCTACTCAACAGTGGGAAAACTGGGAGAGAATGAATTACAATATGGAAACATTCTACATTTACTGTTGACACCCTGTCCCCATATTTTCTCTCCTTAAATTAGAAAATGGTTCTTTTCCACCTCTTTTCCCATCCTGCAATGCAACTGTTGGCACTATATTTTCAGATCTAATAGAGGTTTAGAGACAGCTTCACAAGTACCAACATCACAGGATTCCATGATTATTTTCTTCCAGAGTAAAGGGGTGGCATACTCATGCTTAGACCGAAATTAATGATACATACCTGCCATCCCTCAGTCCCATTCTGCCCCACAGATTTAAAAAAAAGTCCACATAAGCTCTAGTCCCTTACTCAAAATAGCAGTGTTAGCATGTGACTTAAACACTATCTCTCACATACTTTAATCTCTTCGTTACTTACAATATCTAAAACAATGCATATACTATGCTTACTTTCCATACAGATACAATATGGGGGTATTTTCAAATCATATTAAATCTATGAACACAGAACCCAAAGACATGCAGTGTTACAGTCATTCCACTGTTTTGTTTTGTTTTTTTAATTTCTATTTTAAATGGCAAATCCCTGAAAGCCCAGATTCAGCAGATAAGCTTCACTTGCTTTCTGCTTTCTCAATAGTACATGCACATGCTCCAGCCAGGAACAAACTGCACTGAGTTTTAATCTCAGACACCTACTAAACTCGGTTCTGCTCTGAAAATGCTGCCTGTCCAAATGTCACCAGGTAGGTAGGGAAGCTAAAGTCCCTATTTAAGGTACTTCAAGCCAACTAAAAGGTAACACAATGAATTCTGCCTAATGGCACATTATTAAGGTGCCTCTCCACATAGATCATTACAAAAATGAATACATCCTTCAGAAAACAACCACCACTGGACTTCCAAAGCTCAGGATGGGTTCTCCCAGGGAAATGGGGTAATTCCTGTTAAATACACTGTCAGTGGCTAAGAGAATATATCCAACGATATCATCCTAAGATCAAGACTGCCATAATGATGGTGAGAAGAACTGCCCTATCTAACCTGCAATCAATTCAATTCAGTCCATTCCAAGAGAATGGTCCATCATTACCTCAAGCATTTCCACACAAGGCCAGAAAGACATTCCTCATGTGAGCATGTGTTCACTGCTTTCTACTGAGGCAGAACTGAGCAGTGAAGGATGTTTTCACCAAATAACTGACATATTTTCAACTTCAGTTTTACAGAATGGGAGACAGGGAAATAAATGTTTGCCTTCACATCGCCCCACGTGACAAGGAGAGGCAAACGCAGTATGCCCCTCTCCTCCTGCCTTGTAACTGAAGATCTATGGATTAACGCCATTTATTCTCTACAGACCCAGATGACAGATCCAACCTGGAAGTCGTGGGCTCTCTTCTGAAAACACTCTATTTTGTGGGTTGGGGAAGGGGGGTGTCATTTTGTGGCCTAGCGCCTGCCTGGCATACACGAGGCCCTGGGTTCCATGCCCAGCCCTGCCAGATACAGAATTATATTCTCGTAATTGAAGCATATCGTCTTATATTGCATTACAGGACTAAATGAAGGCCACCACACAACTGAGTTTGTGTTATTTAAAAAAATACATAAATAAAAAAGCCTGCACAGACGACCAACATCGCCGCGTGGGTGGAGGAGACCCAGTGGCCTTTTCAGAAAGCCAACCACGGGGAACACAATGGGTTCGGTCAGCTCTCACACTTCAGAAACCACCACGGCACACGCGGCCCTCACCGGGGCTCGGAACCGGGCCCGGAGGGGAAAGGTCCGATGATGTCATCCCCGGGTCCTCCCCCGAGCTGACGGCGAACCCCGGGGCCTTTAAAGGGGACCGTTTTCCGCGCGCCGGCGGCCGGGGCCGCCCGCGCCGCACCTGCTCCCGCACCGGGGCCGCCCGCGCCTCCCGCCCTGCCCGCCCGGGGGAGACAATACATTTTAACGCCGTTGGCGCTGCTGCGCGGCGGCTTCTCGGGCTCGGCAGGGTGCGGGTCCCGGCGCGACTCGGCCGGCGGCTGCTGCTGCGGACCGTCGTCGCCCGCGGCCGCCTCGGGCTTGTCGGCATCGGCCATCCCGCCGCGGGCTCCGCCTCGGCCGCGCTGAGGGCTCCGAGCGCTACAATGGCGGCGGCCGGCGGAGCGGTAACGGATCGCGATTTGAAAAGGCCCCGAGCGCTCGGCGGCCCGGATCTCGCGAGAGCCGACGAGGCCCCGCGACTTGAGGAGCGAGCGGGGGGGGCGGGGCTCCTGCGCGGCCACCTGCGGAGGAGAGCGCGGGCGGCCTGGGGGCGCGGAGGTGGGGGTCCTCCGGGGGAGGGGCGTTTGGACACGGAAAGGCGCCCGCATCCTCTCTGGAGGGGGGGATGCTCTACGTATCCGCCGTGCCCACGAGTCCCCCGGGGGACCTTCAGTACAGTGCATCCGTGGCTGATGGCGGTCACCAAGTTGACTACTTTCTTGGAGGGCTGAAGGTTTCTGTAGACCTTAGCAATCCAGCTAGGAAGTTGAAGTTTTTGAATTCTCCAGGCAGCAACCGCTGTGGGCAATCCATAATTTTCTTAAGAGTCACTGTACTAGGGGCCGGGAGGAATAATTGCTCAGCCGTTAGTTGCTGCTCTTGCAGAGGACCCAGGTTCGGTTCCCAGCACCCACATACAGAGAAGCCAACACCCTTTTCTGAACCCCTAGGCACTAGGTATGTACTTGATGCACATAAATACATGAAGGCAAAACATATACCCGTGGAATCAAAACAAATATTTAAAAAGTAAAGCCGGGCGGTGGTGGGGCACGCCTTTAATCCCAGCACTCGCGAGGCAGAGGCAGGCGGATCTCTGAGTTCCAGGCCAGTGGGCTGGTCTACAGAGCGAGATCCAGGACAGTCAACGCTGTTACACATTGAAACTCTGATAAATGAAACCATATTTTGTACAAGATTAGATACAAATCCACATTTTGGATTTTGGTTATACGTTTTTTTTTTCCTTAAATATGAAAACTCATAAATTTAACTTGAGTGCTATAATTACACTTCACACTAAAATGATCTTTTTCAGTTGAAAAAAATGCAAAGACCTTCACAAACGTTTCCTTCCATTAAAAAGTGAGAGGCATACTGCAAGCATATTGTATAAGTGAGGGAGTGATCCGTAACATTGCCTTTAGGGTACTGCCCACATACATAATGTCCTAACACAGCAGGTGCTACTGTGCTCCATTGTTTCTCTTCATTCAACCCTGGGGCCTAATGTTTGCAGTTACTGGACAGGTACTGGAACCTGGCAGAGACAGTCGGGGTTAGAGCCCACCTCTGTCACTTTCTGCTTCTAACTCCTTGGGTAAGTCCCTTCACTTCTCAATCTCCCTTCACCATAAGGATAGCAATACCTCCCAGAGTACGGATTTAAAGAAAGCAGTTCATATAGGGCCACGTGTTACAGTATTGCAGTCTCTATCTCTTAAGGCTCACATGGGGTTTCAGTCAAAGGAGAAGGCAGATTATTTTTCCACGAAGTAGTAAATTGCAATAACTTTCTAAGTATCCATCATTCCATTATTCTTTTGCTATCATTGAATTTCACCAAGAAACTCAATCTGACAGTCCCTGGTCTGGTAGGTTCCTGCAAATCCTTTTCCTCATTTCAACACTTTTCAAGAGTTCTTCATGGCCAAAACATAATAGAAGGTACAGGAGGAACACTAGAGCCCTGCTGGAGGAACACTTTGGTGAATACCACTATTTGAGAGCTGTAATCAAGATAAAAGCATAATTTAACTAAACATCCACTCATGAGACTTGTCCGTACTGAATAGTATGCCAATTTGAATATTCCATTAAAAGATCTATCTTAATGACTTAGATTTGGAGGGCAGGGGTTTAAATTTTGTGCCTAAGACAAATGGCTCCCTGCCTACATGATAGTCCTGATCTTGGTGAATGCATAAAGAGCAGAGGGCAATTTCAACTGAGGATCTGTGAGGGGCTCCTAGAAGAGCTGGGTCCTGAAAGACTGAGTTAAGTGGAGCAGCTCCCCTGCAGAGTAGAAACTGCCCTGTCCACTGACCTTTCTTTCACCCACACTGTTGCTATCATACTTAATTGTCTTGAAATCTACAAAGGATAGAGTAAAATTCAATTCCTCCCCTCATTGGGATTTTTTTTCAGTGTATGTATGCACATTGGAAAACAGTTAACAAATGCTCAAGTTTCTTCTCACAGTTCCTACTGAAAAATTGTTATCCTTCACAATTGCTCAAAGTATATTTGTAGTGGTTTGACTGAGAATAAGCCCTTTTGAACACTCAGACCCCAATTGGTGGTGCTGTTTGTGGAGACTTAGGAGATATAGTCTTGTTGGAGGAAGTATGTCACTAGGGGTGGGCTCTGAGAGTCGAAAGACTCATCCCATTCCCCATTCACTCTCTCTCTGCTTCCTGCAAAATACAAGTTTTCAGCTTGCTGTTCCAACTGCCTGCCTACCCTGTGCCTGCCTGCCTCCTGCCTACTGTGTGCCTGCCTGCCTCCTGCCTACTGTGTGCCTGCCTGCCTCCTGCCTCCTGCCTGCTGCCTGCCTGCCTGCCTGCCTGCTGCCTGCTACCTGCCTGTCTCCCTGCCTGCTGCCATGCCTCCCTGACATGATGATGCTTACCCTTCTGGAACTGTAAAACCAAATGAACTCTTCCTTCAGTAAGTTGCCTTGGCCATGATGTTTTATCACAACAATAGAAAAGAACTAATATATTTCCAGAATAAAGTCACAGGACCACTTAGTTTTCTTTCTCAAAAATTGGAATGTATTTACATACGTATATGAGAGAGGGAAACCTTCTCGCATATTAGAAATGTAACTGCCGGGCAGTGGTGACGCATGCCTTTAATCCCAGTACTTGGGAGGCAGAGGCAGGCAGATCTCAGTGAGTTCAAGGCCAGCCTGGTCTACAGAGAAAGTTCCAGGACAGCCAGGGCTACACAGAGAAACTCTGTCTTGAAAGACAAAAAAAAAAAAAAAGTACACTGATATATCCTAGAGGTGGTACTCCAGCCTCATAGTCATGAGCCCAGGCTCCACTTCCCTAATGTGTGACCATCCTAGTGTGAGGCTTGACCCTTAAGAAGACTCCATGACCCTAGGCTATTTGGGCATCTTCTCTGCATTGCAGGTCAGAAGTTTTCCACAGCAGAAGGAAGCATCCTGTCGAGAAATCTCATATACTTTCAGTGATGGGCCAAAACTTTGCCAGGAATCACTGAGCTGTGGAAGGAGTGTTAAATAGGTAAGTGCCTCATTGACAAGGGAATTCTGTCACCAAAGGGGGAAAAAATGAAATGGAGAGGCAGCTAGGATACCATCAGCCTTTTTCTTTGTAAAAATTAAAATGCAAACGCCAGGCCAGGCATAGAGGGACACACCTGTAATCCCAACACTCAGGAGGTAGAGACAGGAGTATCTAGGATTCTGGGTCACCCTCAGCCATGTGTAAGTTTAAGGCCAGCCTAGGCTACTTGAGTGTGCTGGTATATTATTGTCAACCTGACACAAACTAGAGTCACCTAGGAAGAGGGAACCTCAGTTGAGGCATTGCCTCCCTCAGACTGGCCTGTAGGAATGTCTGTGAAATATTTTATTCATTGATTTGAGGGGGCCAGCCCACTGTGGGTGGTGCCAATCCTAGGCAGGTGGTATTTACTGTGTTGTACAAGAAAACAGGCTGAGCAAGCCATAGGGAACAAGTCAATAAGCAGTGTTCCTCTATGGCCTCTGCATCACTCCCTGCCTCCAGGTTCCTGCCTTGAGTTCCTGCCCTGACTTCTCTCCATGAGGAACTATAAGCTGTGCCAAATTGCTTTGGGTCAGTGTTTTATCACACAGACAGTGAAGCAAACCAGGGAACTGAGACCTTGTCTTGGGGGGGAAAAAAAGAAGAAAGATCAGACCATGACCACCAAAAAGAAAAAGAAAAAAAAAGCAAAACAGAACATATGACAAATTAAATGGCTGAATTTGGAAGAATTAAGATTCTAAACTTAGCCGGGCGGTGGTGGCGCACGCCTTTAATCCCAGCACTCGGGAGGCAGAGGCAGGCGGATCTCTGTGAGTTCGAGGCCAGCCTGGTCTACAGCGCGAGATCCAGGAAAGGCGCAAAGCTACACAGAGAAACCCTGTCTCGAAAAACCAAAAAAAAAAGATTCTAAACTTTGTGTTTGTAAATTGAAGACTATATATCAATGGGAGAGCAATTGTCTAACGGGGTCCAATCCACAGTACTGTACCCTGTTCTGTTTTGCAGTTCATCCTATGATGGATATATAGATCTTTATTACTAAGTAACAGAAAGAAACATTTCAACCACTTTCTAATTCCTTAGCTTAAGTCAGCCTACCATTACCTCAGTGCCACCCAGGAAGTCCATCCAAAGGCAGATTAGAGCGAGTTCTAGAGATGCCTGCCCACTCTCCTTTGCACAGGAAGAGGTACTCCCGCTCCTTTGTGTATGGGAGAATTTGCTTCCTCCGTCCCAAACTGTGGACATTCATATTTTCCACCCTCTTCTTTCGCACCCTCACTGTAAGGGGGTTACCTCTCCTTGTTGCCTTTATTTTAAATATTTATATTTTTGCAGCATTGTTCTCAATTTTAAATTATAACATTTGGAAGAGAAAATCGATTTCTTAGAATGAGGAATTGCGAGGTTCACTTCCTATGCCGCTCTGACTATTTGGAGATAATAGAAGCTGATAGAGAAGAAAACTGACAGAAGCAATCACCCTCCTTTCACCTGCTGATGGGAAACACATTGATAATGATAATCACCAGAAGCCCATGCTTCCTCCTCTGCTGGCAGCTACATGTTTCTGTGAGAGTATATCTCTGGTCAGTAAAATCTAAGAGAAATGTTGAATGGACCATGTAGGGGAGCCTTAGAGGAAGGTCATTTAGCAAGAACCATGGTCCTTCCATCCTCTTTTGTCTCCTCCTGTCATTGGCTTAGAATAGAGAAATTATGTTTACTGCGACAATCATCATGTAGAACTTAGAAGTGACCTCGTAACTGGAAACTAAGGATGAAGAGCAGGAAAAAAGAATGAGGATGAGGCCATGAGGCCACAATAACTACCCTGGCTGGCATTCTACCCCCTGCCTCGCTTTCAGCAACAACTTACAAATGCTCACCCTGATAAGTTGCTGCTTCTTCTTC